TCTTATATCGCTTTTATCAAGTATAATAAAATTTACGTTACAAAAATCATAGATCGCGCGTGATAGCGGATCCAAAAAGGTATTTAACATCTAAGGAAAATTTAATTTAATTCCATTCCCGATTCTAATTGCAAGCATATCGTTGACGCCAAAATCTGAAAATCCCTGATCCGTTGCATTGCGATGGGCGCGTTCAGCAGACCAAAGCCGCTCAGTAGCAATCGAACGTGATTGGCTCTTACTTTTAAAACCAACCAATCAACGCAGAGTGTTGATAAGACGAACTCAACAGTTGTGTCTGCTGAACGCGGCCAAATAATCGAATATCGCGATGATCGCGATTGCCCCATTGCCCGCGAGGAGCGCAGCTCCGGTGCGCGCGCCCATCCGGCGGCAACGGTGACGGCGGCGCGGCGGCGGGTGGCGGGTTGCCGGCTAAGGGCATTCACCTTCTCGGGGCGGTCGTCTGTTGCCCGGGCAACAGACAGAGCGGTAACCCCTTCGGGCGTCCCGTCACCCGTCGCGCCGCGCTCCAGACGCTCCGGCGCGAGGCCGCGAGGCGCGGATTCTCGCGCACCTTCGTTCCCGCGTCTCGGAAACGAGCGGCCGCGTCCCCCGGCATCTCTACTCTAATCTCGGCCGCGAGGTTTAAGGACCGGGCGCGAAACGTGTAACGTGTCGGGAGCGGAGCGGACGGCCGCGCGGGCCGGGTCTCGCTCGTTTTCCTGACGCGGGAACGGGAGGCCGCGAGTTGTAGTCGCACCGCGAGGAGAAGGCTCTTCGTCGGCGTCTCAGGAGGACGCGATGCACGACGATCCCGTCCACGGGCAGGCCCGCGAGGTCGTCGCGGCTATGACGGTGAGTCTGTCAAAAACGTCATCTCCTTACGCTCGCGCTCCGTTAAAGGCGCGTCGTCGGCGTCGCCGAGCCACGCACGATGTCGGACGCACGATCACGTATTTAGGTTATATCAGTCACATGTAGACGACGGCGCGCCGTGTGCGTGTGTGTGCGCGAGCGGCCGCCCGCGCGCGCGCGCGCGAATTCGATTGCGAAGCGCCGATTGACCCGCCGGTTTCGCGAGTGCGTCACGAGATCTGTTTACGTTAACTGATAATTGAGAGAAAACAGTTACGACATCGATCGTCTCCCTCTTATCTACGGCTATAAAAAAAAGCGACGCCAGTGCATTTCTCCCGTGATTTTCACCGCGGGAAAGAGAGGGGGGGACACCCTTTTCGCGCCGCTTCTTTCCCACGGTCGACCGCGGGTCGACGACGCGAGAGAAAAACCTCGCGCGCGGATCGAGTCCACGTTTAATCGTTTCTTTCAGATCCCCCGCGCGTTATTTTCCAGCGCCGTCAATCAATTGTCGCGTTTCATATGCAACAATTATTCTCATGCCGTGTTTTATCTTTAAATAACGAACGCTCTTTTTGGTGCGCGACGCGCGAGATTACTTGGGTGCGATAGCGTCTCTGAAATATAGTTGTTGATACTTGATACACGATTTCTCGCCCCCTAACGCCGCGCGCGCTGCCGCCGCCGCCGTTGCGAGGGTATCGGTCGTGATGACGAGGAAGAATCAATTCAGAGATGCGCTGATGCAAGTTTCGGGCCGGTTGCCATCAGCCATCAGCGGGAGATAAACGAGACCGCGTGATACGCGTGCGAGAGCAGATAGAGAGAGAGAGAGAGAGAGAGAGAGAGAGAGATTCACCCCGTGCCCAGCCGCAGGACGCGACGAGACGCGAAAACATCGCCGCCGTTGAATAACATTTACATTACAATTATAAACAAGTATACTTTTCACCGGCGGCGTTGATAACGCTAAGCGCGTCGCCATCGATCTCCGCTTTTTTACTTCTCTACCCCTCGTCCTCGTCTCTTCCCCCCCCCTCCCGCCCTCCCCTTTGTCACCCCGTTCTCCCTTTGCGTGCACCGTGTGCGGCGCCCGCTGTAAAGTCAGCCGCGACGCCGAGACGGGGGCGAGGAAGTGAAATCTCCCCCTCGAATCGGCGCGAGCAGTGCGAGCACCCCACGTGAAATCTTTTGTCTCTCCTATAAAGCTGCGTCGCGAAATGCAGAGAGATGAATAAGCATTGAAACTTGCTACTGGAGAAATTATATCTCTGCATCGGATGCATCGGATGTTATTTGTTGAACGTTGAATGTTCCATTGATTCGATAGATTAATCAGGAATTAGTAATATTAATTTCTGGGAAAGTTGTGTATTAAGGCTCCTGGGTAGTCACCGCGGGCATGTTGGATTATTACTATCGAGGCGAGGAAAACACCCAATTTTGTTGTGCATGCCATTTTCAAATAAAAAGACATTTCAATAAAACATCACTATAGATCGTTTCAGAACACTTCCGAAATTGGCCGAAAACTACCCTTTTCAATAAACAAACTACCCTCGACAATAAACAAACAGCCATAAAACGAAGCCTAAACATACGGGAAAAACAGCCGTTTAACGACTATCAAAAGGAGGTGAAAACGTTCCTTCCGCATGCAAATCTTACTTTTCGGCCAATTTTACGACTTTCACGAATATGTTAAACGTTAGAGCACAAGCACAGAGCGAATAATAAAGAAATAGCACAACAAAATAGGTTGTCAACATGTCACAAAGGACAGTTCTCCATTGGAGAGAGTTCTGATTTCTGCCGCGACGGTACGTTGCCACCGTCAACGCAGAGTTCTCGGCTCAGGGACCAGGAGCCTTTAATAATAATACAACTTTCGCAAAAATTAATTTCAATATTAGGAATGTTAAATGTTCTACATACACTGTTAAATGTTAAATTCGTAGTAAGTTATACTTATTTTTTCAGTCGTTTTTAATAATTCCTATAGATCGCCACTGCTCCACAATATGCCGTTAATTTAACTAAACCAATAGAGTGCTGAAATAATACTGTTTTGTGTTAAAATAATAAATTTCGACACACACATGACAGTTAAAAATAACGAAACATTATTTAATTCAAGGTGTTGATTTAAATTTTATTTAATATTTAACAGTGTATCGTAATTTGAAGGTGTACGTTAACTAACGGATCAACGAAAGAATGCGCCGATGATTCAAAGCTTGATTACGATTTCTGTAACCTCCATTCTGTAACTCTTGATGACGGTTTCGTTATCGTTATTATTATTAATTGTCGTTGCGCAGGTATTAAGGTAAAAAGAACTGCGCAACGACAATACATAACGATAACAAAACTGTCGTTAAGAGCTGTAGAATCAGGTGTTTTAATCTCTGAGGAAGGGGAGAGGGCAGACACAAACGATAGATAAATTCTATGATTTCTTCCGTAATCTGTTGAATCTGTGCACTGTTGAATGCGCTATCTCCGCTCGGCTTGCGGAAGGGTATTTAGGGCAAGGGTATCGATCGGTGACTCATTGATTTTAAGGGGCCGTCCATTAAGAGCGCACTGTACCCGTGTGAGCGAAAAACTCGAAAAATTTTCCCCGTTGTTTCACCACATAACATTACTTAGTTAGCTATCTTATCAGAAGACACTCACATGGTTACCAGCGAATTCTGCTTCGGTTCGAGATCCTTGCAGGCGGCCTGCACGATATCGGGTTGAAACTGCAGGGATTCAGGATTAAAATCTATCTCGTGCGCTTTCTTCGCGTTGGAATTTTCGTTCGTCTGATAAAAAAATAAAATGAAGAAAGTGATGCATAAAATTGAAGAGATCGGATTTACATTAGCATTAGCGCATTTACCGGTCATCGAGACGAACGTACACTAATATTCTTATTGCATTTTGTTACGTTCGAATTTATTATCGTGACGAATTTTTGGAAGATTTTAGATTTTAGCAGTTCTGATATCAAACTATTTTTTTTCCATTAAAACTGATCCAACATCGTTATTTCTAACATCGATGTAGAAATCGAGCTTTAAATAAACGGATCTTATATCATTTTCGTGAAGAAATAAAGAAGAAAGGAAAAATTGAACTTTATACTTATTATAAAAACAAATGTGCAATGCTAAATTGAATCAAAAACTGTTGCGTGAAATTTTGCTAAACTTTGAACGCATTTTTCTCGAAAAGCTGATTTTTATAGCAGATTTCTTTGAAGAAAAGGAACAGACGCATACACATACACACAATTGTTATTCTTACCAAGTCAACGTTGTGCGACTCGTAATTTTTTTCGTAGTCGAGATTCACTATGCAAAGTGGACTCGCCATTGTGGAAACGAATAATTCACTATCCCGCGTCGAAGAGAATGGCCTTTTCGGTAGGGCCAGAATCGTGTTGTAACTGGCGGTGTCTACGCTCCCGTATCTAGATAGAAAATAAGAGATATGTAAGATATGTAAGAAAAGAGATATGTAAGAAAAACCCACGTAGAATGACGTAGATAACATAGATCTCTCTATAAGTAATATATATATATATATATATATATATATACGATTGGTATATGTCACTTTATTGTATCCATGATTACGTACGTTATGAACTACGTTATTAATTAATTATATATACTAATTATATGAAATATATAATATGATACATCTCGCAGATGCGTCTAATCCACATCTTACATGAAAGAGCAGCCGGCTGGGCTCGGATCTAAGTCGCTCGTTTCCGAATCGCCGAATATCGCCGGTTCCGGGCTCGTGCGGGATTCCGACGAGAGTAACGGCGTGCTCTCGGAACCGCTGTCCCGTGTCAGCGAGGAGTCGCTGCCTGGGTAAATACGCGACTTATACATAATGTCTCTGAAGCTGACAAAAAAAAAAGATATCGCTGTAGTGAAAGAAAGTCTGTTCTCCCGTTCAAGACCCTGGCCTCCTCGAACGCGGTGGCTTTTCGGAGCAGCGAATCGAGATCGGAGACACACGGAAGGATAAGGATACTTACGAGTACTTGCTTTAGGAAGCACGAAGTGTGAACGACGAGCGTTCTACGTCGCATTAAGCTATATAATCATGCTCAATGAGATCTCCTCTCCCGTCATCGTCTATTTTTTTTCTTTCCCTTCCTTCTTTTTTTCTTTTTTTTTTTTACGTGAAGCTATGAAATACGTCAAACACGCCAAACGCGTATCACCCCACGAGGTGCGAGCGGCAGATAGCGGATTCAATAACTGCTCCCAGCGACACGTAGCGCGGTCTTATCGGGATGATAAAAGTATCTTCTTTTGGACCTCCGGTCCAAATTAACCGATTGACCGGCGGGATCGCGCGAAAAGTTATCGAGTTTAAGCGGTAACGATAATTCGGTATCAGCGCGGCATTCGTCGTCGCGCGTGAAACTGAAAGAATGTCCAACTCACTATCTTCTTCTCTGCTACTTCTTCTGCTTCTTTTTCTTTCCCCTCTAACGCGACCGAACGGACCTGGTCCGGCCTCGTGACGTATTTTGACGTATATACGAGTTACGACGTACGCGACCGGCGATCGGGGGATCGGGTGGGACCACTTCGCTCCCGCGGGACCACCGCGGCTATACCGATCGTGCGCCCTCGTCCGGAAAACTGGGTTTTGGAGTAGGTACGTCCCCGTTTTATAAACTCGCGGACTTTGTATTGGCGGTAGTGTATCCTTGACTTGAACACGCCTCCCTCCAGCCAGCGTGTTTTTCAACGATCACGATCGTGCCGCGCGCGTCCGTCGGACGAGCGCGGCTAAAAACCGCTGGCCGACCCGATCGGTCGCGACGATCGCGTGACTTCGCGGAGATTCCGCTCTTTCTTCCGCCCTTCTCTCGACACCGATACCCTCGCGGCCTCCCCCAGGACATCCGCGGTTTCCGCGAGAGAGAGAGAGAGAGAGAGAGAGAGACTCTCTCTCCATCTCGCCATCCTCCAATACCCGACGAAGTCGGACCTCAGCTTATTGTTATATCCTCTCGGGGGCGAAAATGGCACGTTTGCCACGATGGTGCGTTTATTTTTCTTCTATTTGCGTTACAAAAGTTACAAATATAGAATCGCAGCAATCTAGGAAGAAACCAGTCTATCATCAAGATAATCCGAGAATTTATCGACGCGAGTCGGCCCGAGTGTTTACGAGCGTAATTGTGCTCGTTTCGTTGATCATTCTCCTGTCACGCTTCTCTCAGCGATGATGCGAAATAGTCCCATGAATGACCTCTCTCATCCATTTCAATTTCCGTCAATCGTAATCGCGTTTTTCCCGCGTGGCGGGAAACCCCAAAGTCTCGGGAGGAAAAAGCGAAGCTTTCAGAAAGAGATTTTTATTATGAAAAGTTAATAATATCCTCCCGCGAAATACAGGCTTCCCTTTCGCAGCAGTTGAACGCTGAATCTTCCTTTTATTACTTTACTACCACGTCAGACGTCGAACTCGCGCGACCCTATCCATGCACTTATTATGTCTTAGCGACGCGTATGTAAGATCGCCCGCTCGGTACATCTGCTATCTCAATTCAAAGCAATGTAAAGTATGCTGACGTCAAACAGGCGAGTTAAATTTCTGATTTTTTTTTCCCCCACTGTGATCACTTCCATCGACTTCTTAAACGGCTTGATTTCAGCTCGGATACGGCGAACTGTCACGCGAATTGTTCAGCGCGAGTCGTCTGCGCGGTCTCGTCTTCCGCTTAGTCGAACGCGACGAGAGAGTAAATACCATGGTATTTTCGCGCGCTATATTTGCGGACGAAAAATTGTCACGCGCCCATCCCTATCTTATTCCCGTTTAACTTCCGCGTTGTCAATCCACGCGTCATTTATCTACGAAACTGTTATCTGCATCATTACGCATAGGCGATTATGCGAACGTTCGTCGCCGTCGTTCTGCCTATTCATCCATTCGCGAGATCTATCTGGCTGTTTGTGCAAATTCGGGTTTAAGAAGCTTGGTGCGCGACTCGAAAACTGGAGTAAATTTCGTACACGGTACATTAATTTCATATTGTACGAGCATGATTCTCTTTTCAAGAATAGCTCTATCAATTAACACATAGATAGCATTTATTAATATAAAGATAATTTAATCAGTCGAAATAGGATTTCATTTTTCATTTAAAATCGAATAAAGAAAAATCTTTTGTGTTTTTTCTCTTACTATGCAAAAAACAATTTTTTTTTCCAAAAATAACATCTTTAAAAGTGTAAGATTCATATCAGTCCTATATTTCACTTATTGTTTATTCACATGTCGCCTGAAACAAGATATTCTCCTTATTTACCGGTTATCGCGATAAATAATATCATCACGTGTGCCTCAATCGAATTGATAAAGACTCCCGTCACGAATTGTAGGGGGGTTCAAATTCTATCTGGGGGATATTTTTCACAATAAATTCTTCACGATGATTTAAACAGGATGTTTATTAGCATCAAAAGTTAAATCGATTTAAATATGAGAATTTACTGTTCCAACAAAAATCTGTATTTTAAAACTGACAAGTAATCGGCGCGCAGTTTATTGAATTAAAAAAAGTACAAAATTCACACAAATATTATTATTATAGTTATCATGGCCAGCCCGACCGAAAAGGACATCTCTAATTAATTGTGAAACTCATATTGGTCCTGTTTCGCTTATTATTGTTTAAAAGAAAAGTTTTTACTTAGCCAAGAATTTTATATTTTCTGTCTTTTTTATACATTTGCAATATAGAGATTACTATCGAAAGAATTATGATTCTCTCCGAAGAAATCTGACTTGATGAAATATCTATCTTTTGAGGAAGACACAATTTAGGGCCAATTCCTTTTAGTGACACAAGTCGACACAAACATCGTTCTATCCTTCTTGGCATTCAGTGAATAACAAAGACAGAACGATACTTGTGTCGACTTGTGTCACTAAAAGGAATTGGCCTTTAATGCATGTTTAGCGACGGTTAAATTACTTCAACACATTATCCCAATCGTTTGAGAATAGGTTTTTATGCACAATATTTCTGTAACAGTTTATTTACTAATTTCACACAATACTTTCTGGCTCAATTCATGAAAAGAAAATACCAAACCGCTTTCTTCAAAAAACTGGACTGTTATTTTAATGCACAAAATAACAATATCGGTCTTAGAAAGTAAACAACAAATATAACTTGTAGGTGTTAAACTCAAGAATCCAAAAATTGGTCGCAAAACCGGGTCCACTCGTTAGAGGAGGTATTAGAAGAGATATATCCGGTGTCGATTAAAATAAATTACTTAAAAATAAATACCTTAGCAATATCCGGACGGTCGTAGGGCTATCCATGGTTATCGATGTACAGTTAATTATCAAAATAATTATCAGTAATCGACCCTTGGCGGTCGTTTTCCTCCTTTTCTGCCGAGGTATCCGACCGGCTTAGGTGTCAACGACAGGCACGACCGCACAACACAGCTCCGTTGGCCCCATGTGATTTTGATCGTGCACGGTGCACGTGCGCGCGAGGCTGCCCGCGCCGCCGCGACAGCTGGCGCGCGCGATCTCCCAAGATGGCGGCGACCGGGCGCCCGTGCCCTTGCGTGTCATTGACAGGCGGAGTTCGGCCCGCCGCCGGCAGTTATCGGGCGGCCGTCGCGAGTGTACTGTACGCTCCGCGCTCCTCGTTCGGTTTATTCCCTCGCCGGTCGCGGCCAACGGATTAACCTCAACCAGCGTTCGGCGCCTCGTCTTATCGTTTTTTTATCTCCTTTCTGTCGGTTGCAGCGCGCCCGTGGAATCACCACCGTGCGAGCATGACCGCGACGTCGGTGACGAGCCTGACGGTGAGCACCCGGGTGTACGAGGGCCAGAAGCCGGGCACCTCGGGCCTGCGGAAGGCCGTCAAGGTCTTCCAGCAGGAGCACTACACGGAGAACTTCGTGCAGGCGATACTGCACGCCCTGGGCGATCAGCTGACCGGCTGCACCCTCGTCGTCGGCGGCGACGGACGGTTTTACGGGAGGGAGGCAGTGGCGAAGATCATCCGGATCGCCGCGGCAAACGGGGTGAGGCTGATTGATCCACCATACAGATTGACGTAGACGAAGAACGTTGCATTGTGAGACTGATAAATAATTGATTAATGGCAGCAATTAGAGTTTAATAGTTTTATACTTGAGATTTTATGTCAGAAAGTTGACTGATCTATGATTCTTTACACGTGGTGTATTATTCATTTGATAGAATCGACGTTTTTACTCAGAAAAGTAATGCAATTGGGTAATTCTTTTGTAAGAGATTATCTACAGACAACTGTGTGAGAGAGCAGAAACAATGACTTTTGCTTTGCCAGTAAATAATTAACGCAGGTAGCTTTTAATTGACTCAACTGACCACATTTATTAAATTAATATCACATGACATATAATTGATTAAAAGCTACTGTAAGAAAGATTGTGATATGTAGAGATCAATGAGATATGTTACAATTTTTTCTTTTTTAGGTAGGGAAGTTAATAGTTGGTCAAAATGGCATTCTCTCGACGCCAGCGGTGTCAACTATAATACGAAAGTATAAAACGCAAGGTGGGATTGTCTTAACTGCGTCGCACAATCCTGGTGGTCCCGATGCCGACTTTGGCATTAAATTTAATTGCGACAACGGCGGCCCTGCTCCGGACAACGTGACGAACAAAATCTACGAGCTCACCAAAACGCTCCAATCTTACAAAATTATTCCTGACATTGGGGTAGATATTGATAAAGTACAGAGTACCTCTGTTGAAGTCGATGGCAGACCATTTACCGTCGATATAATTGATTCTGTGAACGATTATGTGGAGCTTATGAAGGAGATTTTTGATTTTGCGAGTATTAGAAAATTGTTGCAAGGCAATGCGGATAAGCCAGCGTTTAAGGTTCTCATAAACTCAATGAATGGAGGTTAGGCATTATATAATTTGTATTTGGCATCTTTTATTACCCAGACACATATCGTAATAGGAGCTCTCAATAATTTTCAGTTACGGGGCCGTACGTGAAGCGAATATTTAGCACCGAATTAGGCGTCGATGACACATGCTTAGTGAATATAAAGCCGTTAGAAGATTTCGGTGGTTTACACCCCGATCCAAATTTAACTTATGCCAAAGATTTAGTGAATGCTATGAAGGAAGGACCGTACGACTTTGGTGCAGCTTTCGATGGGGACGGAGACAGAAATATGGTGAGTAAAATCCATCGAAAATTGGTCTAGATAGGAAATTGTTTCGTTAAATTGTGCTTGCACACTTACAGATCTTGGGCAAGAAAGCCTTTTTCGTCACTCCTTCCGATTCCTTAGCGGTATTAGCTGCTAATTTAAAATTAATTCCGTATTTCCAAAAGACTGGCGTTAAAGGATATGCTAGATCAATGCCAACGGCTGCAGCTGTTGATAGAGTCGCCGCTAAAGACGGGGTAAAATTCTTCGAGGTTCCTACTGGATGGAAATACTTTGGTATGCAGAATTTTTACTTTTATTATATTAAATTAAATTATTATTACAATATTAAATAATTATTATTACAATATAATTAAATTATATTGCATTAAAAGTTATTATTTTTTACAATGCTTGTTTAATATAACTTATAGGAAACCTTATGGATGTTGGAGATCTGTCGATATGCGGAGAGGAAAGTTTCGGCACCGGTTCCGATCATATCCGCGAAAAAGATGGAATCTGGGCATGCCTGGCGTGGCTCAATGTAATTGCGGGACGAGGAAAATCCGTGGAGGATATTTTATTGGATCACTGGAAAGTTTATGGAAGAAATTTCTTCACTAGGTGCACATACATACTCGTCTGTTATTTTCGAATACATATTTAAATGTCTTTTGATTCAACGCTTCTAAATTTGTGGATGTATTGTTGATCATATAGGTACGATTATGAAAATTGCGATTCCGCGAGCGCGGATAAAATGATGCAGAGTATCGAAGCCCTGATTCAGAAGCCAGATTTTATCGGCAGAAAGCTGCAGCGCGAAGGTAAAGAGTATGTTGTTAAGCAGGCGGACAATTACTCCTATACGGATCCTGTCGATGGTAGCAAAGCTACGAAACAGGTACGCTCTACGATCGTATTAATATTAGTAATTTCGTATCTTCAAGCTAGTTACAATATTTTGTGCATTAGGGATTACGGATATTGTTTGCGGATGGCTCCCGGATAATATTCCGCTTATCCGGAACGGGAAGTTCTGGTGCCACTATCCGTATGTATATCGATAGTTACGAGAATGATCCGGCTATTTTCGTGAAAGACGCACAACTGGTCTTAAAACCATTAATTAATATCGCGTTAGAATTAACCGAACTTCGTCAGCATACTGGTCGCGACGCGCCTACTGTGATTACATAAGAGTTCGCTCGTTACGTACTCGCGCTCTTTCGTCGCGGGACTTATCTCTCATTCAACTTTATCTCTCATTTATCCAAAGAGGTTTATAAGGCAAAGGTCTGGTTGAGGATATAAATTCATTTGGATTCTAGAGGTTCGTCCAATTTCATTATCAAAATCACGAAGCAATAGCATAATAATTGTTACTGGCGCCAATGAAGAAATTTTCCATTTTTATAAAGCGTTACCGTTTTACAATTCCATCCAGATATACATACTGTGCGTATTGGACGAGAACTATTCAATATGCATATCCAAGTAGCAATTGTGAGAAAAAAAATTTTTAGGATCTATTAGGATCTCTATTAGATATTTAACGTAGATGTTATTGCTTGTATTCTCTTTACATCTTTCCATTTCAAGTCAATCGTAAGAGGATACAATTTAAACTTATTTAAATCTTCAATTTTTGAGTGTGTGAAGAATATTGGTATTGTAGGAGGTGATTTTTTGTCATAATCTCTGATTATTCAGTAGAAATTTTATTGATAATTTATCTATATTGCTCATATATTTATATGAGTTTTAATAAGCATTATAAAACCATGCTTATTGTGCGTATTACAATATGGATATATCTGGTACATGTAGACATTCTACTTGTGCTGTAAAAATCTTCTTTGGGAAAATGTTTCGTGACATAACATTATGTTATAATGATATTGTTGATATGCAATAATCGTTACTACAGCATTATAATAAAAGAGAAATGCAGTTTATTGTATCGAATACGCCCTGGGTTTCGTAAAGCGCATATGCGCGCATTGTCTATAGTAAACGTTACTTGTGCTATAGATAAACGCGCGCATATACGCTTTACGAAACCCAAGGACAGAATACGTAGATATATTCCAGGAGAAACTGAGCACAAAAAATGTCTTGTACTTATCTATCATTAAAAATCACGTTGTCTATACGTTGCTCCGATGATATGCGTCTTTTTACCAATACCAGCTGACACTAAAGTTGATAAGAAGCTTTCATTATTATCGTATTTATTTCGCAACCATAAAATTGCAATGATATGTAATGAATGTCACCACGTGCATTCCGGTATGTAAAAATATAATTTGTAAAAATCACGACTTTGAATGGAAAAAAAATGGGTACATTGTCAATCTTCCAAAGCTTATGTCTATCCGCGATTCACATTTGATATTCGTTCTCTAAATTTTCATTCATTTTCATCCATGAATTTTTACAGGCTTTTACAGTGAAAATACTATCTAATGCTTGATTTGACGCTCTGGAGAAATTAATTTAATTAATACAATTAAATGTTTAACCCGATCAGATTGATAACACTGTGGGGAGAGGGAGAATTATTTAGTTACTCGTAGATAATTTTATTAACCGCAATATGTCAAGGGCATAAGAGGACTGGAACTCAATATCAGATAGCATAATATTGGAGGATTAACAAAAGCGTAAATTCGATATTGTCTTGAAGGACCAGTTTTTCCAACGTTCATCAAAATGACCTTATTACTCTGTCTGCATTTATAGCCCAATGCTACTACGATCCAGGCAGAGACATAAGAGATTTATTTGCCAAAGAAATTACTAGATTTTTTTTATCCGAGGATGGAATGACTGGTCCTGTGAAATAAATGTAGCGTAATGGATAATGATAAGCGGCTTTAATTTATCCTGGTTTATGAGATAAACATTTTATTAATAAATTAAGTCATCTTAAAGAAAACGTCACTGCTGGGTGGTGACGCTATTTTCAAATTCTAATGATATATTTCGGAATTTCCTTTTCAGTGTCAGATTTATTGTATGAAAATTACATTTGAGCCTAACGCTGTAGATTTATTTACATCGATAAATTTATATTTCAATTGGAGTGGGGAAAGTATAAGTCTTTTTGCACTTCGTCTTGTACAGTAGCATATGTAAAACTGCCTATGTAAAATTTATACTATTTATTGCAACACGAGCATAATACGAAGAGGATATTAAAATTAAAAAAGAGAAAGTACGTTGAAGTTTTTGTAGATAGTAGTGTACACACAACTGTAAGAATCTTTCTTTTCCATCAAAGCAGTCATCCATTTGTCTTTCTGAAATTCTCATACGTTTATTAATACCACACCTAAGCTGGTCATTTTCATTGTGATTCAGAATTCTCTTCGCTGCTGCGAATCGCATTTAAATGCGAATACAGTTTTACTCCAAATCGCATTTTACTTATTCCCGTTACGTCATTCCGTAATCATGCTCGATCTTTCTAAAAAAATATATATACTTTGTTAAACACTTTACCTTCTCTAAACAGCTCAGTTCTGATATTCGAATATCGAAAGAAGCATGGATGCTTAAATTTGGTGAACTCACCAAAACCTGAGAAATAGCCAGCAAGACCTTGTCACCGTTTCTCAGAATTTGGGCAGACCCCAGATATAGCGATGTAGGTTTGCAAATTCGAGTTTAGCGCGATACTCAGCGTCTTACAGAGTCTTCAAATAAGTAGTATGTATCTTTGTGAAATACATACAGTTGTGATGCAACTGTTACGGGGGAAAAATTCATATATCTGCATTTTGTTGCACGATATGTTTCGTTTCAAGGTTGTACGGACAACGTAATTCACTGAGTATCTCGTTAAGATTAATCGATAGAATAGAATACGTTAACGAACTTGTACAAAGAACAGTAGGACGATCAGAAAAGAAAGAATTGAATTTTTCTTTCGACGAGGGAACAAAGTCGCGAATAGCCAGTCGGTGCGAAATTCTGTATGTAACAGTATATCTCCACGTAAGAAGAAATGAACAATAGATAGTAATACGAGTATCACATGTTCGATAGGTATGAGAGGCACATTATTGTATCTCGCGAGTAATGGTTTGCGAGTTAATGGATGTCTCGGCTATTGATAATTAACAGCCGCGCAAATGTATTATATTATTTGTTTCCCTTTCGTTTTTTCTTTTCGCTTCGTCTTTGCTTCTTTCTTTTGTACGATATTTCACTGTGAGCCTTCTATACATCGGAAATATCACGTAAGCGCGTTTTGTACTGCAAAAGAAAAAAAACGTGCGATCACAACTCACGTTTCATTTCGAACGAATTGAATAAAAATTTCACGAGGCCAGTTTGGCGGATACGCCGCGAAGATAGATAAGAATTCGGAGCAAAAGCAAACGTAAAAGTTTTTCCGTTTTTCTTTTCCTTCCGTGAATAAATGCAGCGTGTTATACGGAGAGATTTCGCAAGGCAATTATGTAAATAGTTGACGGTGGAGGAGGAGAAGGAGAGGGAGGGAGGAGATACTTAGGGACCTGAGCCGACACACGCCCCCGTTTGATCTGTCGATTACGTTCTAGAAAAGTGCGAGGGAGAAAGAAAAAGGGAAGAAAGAGGAAAAAAATAGCGGGGATGCTCCGAGTGTGCTCTCTATAACGTAATAAACGATTACTTAACGCGGCGGCGATGTCAAAGAGACCAGCACAGAGACTGCCGATTACTATAAAGATATTAACATGTAACATTTGTATCATAATCATAATAAATACTAATTATCATTATAAGTATATGAATGAGTGGCTGCTCGGAATGCACGTGGTATGATTCATCGATGCTCCATCGTTTTTCTTCGTCGTTCGACGACACCGCGTCTCCTAAATGCTGATTCTGAAGTGTTCCTGATACCGCCATATCAATTCCGAGACATGTGTTCCGTTTATCAATTAATCGAATCTTATCTCTCTAGTGTCAGCGAATTGTGTAAAAATGCATATTATTGTACTCTTGCTCCTTTTTGCCGACTAGCGCTAGATGTGACCATCTTGATTTTCAATTTTACATATATCTTAAACGCGGTATCTTCGTATTATAAGCAAAGACTGAACACCGAAATGCGAAGACTAAATAGTAAAACTACATTATAAATCCGATTGGTTCGATCGGTTTTTTATCTCAGTTATTACAACTTGGCGTGAGACACTCCCGTGTCTCTTGATACTGTTGTATAGCCGGTAGTTTTTAAACAGTTTGTAAAATTCCTGGTTATAAATAAAAATCGTGAGTCGGATGTGTCGCATCTGCGTTAAACCGAAGTAGCGAAAACCCTTCGCGTTTCCGACTACCTACGCGAACGCGTTCTTCGAGCGTTTACGTTTAAGCGATTATTATGTTCAAGAAACTCGTACAAAGTGGTGACGACTAATCCGACTTTTAATAAACTTTATCTCATTACAACGAATCTATGCGTACTTTATTATTTCAAGGTAAAGCATGTGTGTATCCGTATCCTTTTGTAAAAATCCTGATAACGATAAGAAAACGACCTCTTATCTTTGACACAACGATTACGAAAAAAGAAAACCTTCCTTTTTTCGTACAAAGATGATGCTGTAAGCGGTTTAAGCTCATGTTGAAACCAATATTCCTTGAGATACGTTTACGAACAAAAAATGAAGAATAATTAGTCTCTTTATTAATAGATTTATATATATTGCTGTACAAATAAATTTCTTTTTTTTATTTATAAAAAACGTAGAATTTTATTACTAGCAAGAGCATTCAATCGACGCGACGTGTAGATTATACTATATCAAAGTCATCTCTCTGTAAAACAAAAATACGTATATATGTATATATAATTACCAAATTATAATAACATATAAGAAGAGCTAACAGGAATTCTCACCTCATTGTTGTACTCCAATACGTGTTTCTTAATAGCAGATGTGTCTACCCATGTCACAAAGTCCTCTAAATTTCTGTAAAACATACGATCGACATTAGTTTCATTCGTTTCTCTAATATTTGCGTGATGCGCGAGTGGAGTACAAAATGTTTACCTTGTTACCAAGAACGCAGGGTCTTTCACGACTTCCACCCCGACTCGGACATGGCCCTGCTCTATCAATTTCGTCGCCATCGGTATCGTCTGGCTCATCTTGTTGCGCACCATAACGACCGGGAGTCTCCGTCTGCAGAAGCAACTGGCGGTTACCTTCTGGGTCTGCGACAGGTCCCATTTCGTGGAGATCAGGCCCATCATGTACAGCTTTTCCAGCAGCACTGCGCTCTGCTCGATGCGGAAAGGATGGTCAGGCTCGACTTCCTTAATCTTCCTACCCAACTCCCGTATGTCCCGTGACAGTTTGTTGTATCTGCAATCATTTCGATAAATATTAATACTTTTACATTACATTTTTATTGTATTTATTACATCGATAGTATTTTATATAATTTATATTCTACTGTATGCTACTAGATATTTTTTTGTTTTAAATTTTAGAATTTACATAACGTCTCATGGTATATTTATAAATAACAATCCCACGTACACCGTATAGTCCGATCTTTTCTGAATGCAATAACGCTTCAGGATCTTAACCTCGTGGAGATTGTGGTCGGCCTGCCACGACAAGAAGTCCACCTTCTTCAGCAGCTTCTGCTCGTGATACTTCAGTTTTCGCACCATCGTGATCGATCACCGCGAAAGCCTCCTCGCAGAGCAATCCCAACTTTATTTAAAGGGAAATCTTCAGATCCCCGGAGTCCCGGAGCTGGCACCCGATGATTTGTTTTTGACAAGCAAACAAACACGTGGAGTGGGTCCAGATGACCCAGATCGCGGGAGATCCTGCGCATGCGCGGCCGATTTTACACGAGGCCGCCTACAGACCGACGATCTATAATTCGCATCACGGATTTCTGAGTCTATTTACAATATAATTTTATATGCCGTCTATTTTGACGTATATATGTATTATATTCATGAATACGTGACCTCTCCCCTCCTCTTTCTCGCCGAGGTAAAGGTTAAGGAGAGAGAGGGCAAACCCGTCGGAGCTTCCTTATTCTTTCTATAGCACGTAAACGGAGCTCGCAGCAGTCTGCACTTCATACCTCTTCATGGTTTATGATGATGGTCATCAGCCTGATCAGCCAGAGCACGTAGTGATGTAGTCCGCGGTATTTGCGATGTGTGTCCGTGTCACGATCTGTCATAGACCAGCGGCCAGGAGCGGCAGGATGTCATTCACCGGTCGCACGGTGATTTGAGGCGGCCCCCTCGAAGAAGCCGGGAAAGGTCCGTTCCAGGATCCGGCATGGCTCACCTGAACGGGGTGCTGAAGGCTGTGGAGACGCTCAACGCTCTACGGGAGTCGGATGCTCCGTCGGATCCCGGCGCGAGGTATGAGCGGTATAAACACATCATCTCCGGCGACGTGAGAGAGATCGTTCCTTAAATATGAGTTTTCGTCTTGAACAGTAGGAAGGAGAAGGTCTCCTGTTGCGCGATCATCGTCGAGGGGGTATGCTCGCCGACTGTCAGGCAGAACCCCAAGTTCCCACAGATTCTAAGTGCCACCATCGAAACGCTGCTGGCACTCTGCAACGATGAGGAATCCGACGTCAGGATGGTCGCGGACGAGTCTCTCAACAAGATTATAAGGGTACGACACTTTGCGCCTTCCTATTTTTTGTACCTGTTATTAACTGGAGATTGTAGATGTTCATGGACGAAGCACGAAAGCGAGCATATGCGGAGAAATTAAACACTTAAGAGTGATCTATTGGGCAGATAGATATATCATTGATACGTTCTTTGCCAGGCGATGGTCGACAGTAACGTCGTTAAGATCCAGATAGAGCTTTACAATGAGATAAAGAGAAACGGACCTGCACGCATACTGAGGGCTGCGCTTTGGCGATTTGGCTTGCTGAGTCACATGATACGTCCTTCCAGGGGTAAAGCTTACGTGGCAAATCTGATCCCGTGCATAGTGATCATCGCGCATCGGTCGGAGGATACTGTTATTGAAACATTATCGCAGTCGTTGCCATTAATTTTCAAAGTATTAGGACCATTTATGACAGACAAGGATGTCAAGGTAAGAGTCTCGACGTTGTATGATTATACCGGAGCTACTTCCATGAGCTTGGGAGAACATTAAATCTTGTTTCAGAATTTACTGAGGGCATTCTTTGAAAATATCTCCTCTCCTCAAGCAGCTTTTCGTAGGGCGGCAGCTAATATGATTCTGACAACGTGCATAAATTGCAGAAAGCCACAGTTCTTTTTAAATTATGTGATGGATTATACGTTAGGTACGCGCTAAATAATTACGCGCTGCATGATGCCGAAACGTTCATTTATTAATAATATTTATCTTATCTAGATATAATAACGTCGGGTAGAAACGCCGACGATCATTCCTCTACTGTTATCGGCGTCTTTGGATGCCTGAGAGTGATTTTACCTTACATATGTAAACCCTCGGAGCCCCAAGACAGCGAGACACAACAGACAGATAACTTGTTGCACATTTATGAATTGTGTTTGCACTATACAAAATGGCATTCTGATCATAATGTCGTAAATGCAGCTTTAGAGACTTTGGCGCAACTCCTGAAAATGCCGCCAAAGCCGTTGGTGTCTGTTTTATTGTCTTCGAAGGGTATAACGCAAAGCAGAATAATGTCGAATCAAAACGCATGCATTCCATCGCTGGGTCACATGAGCATTTCCAGCGCGAGTACTGCCCATGGCGGAAATTCGGATTCCATTTTAAACTTGCACGAGCCTGATATTCCGGAAATTACTCCAAATGCAGAGTGGATCGCAGATACGGAAACGACATTGCCGGAGACGTGTAATCCACAAACGCAGATCGAGTGTACGAGCAACGTGACGGAAACGAAAGAAAAGATGTTGGAGAGTTATTGTCATCTGAAAATCGAAACCACTGACAGTAAGAATGAGCACGTAAACTCGCAACTCGCGTAACAATTTTACATTTTATTAGCTTTCAATGTTTTTTTAGATGAGATTGCGGAAGAAGGTAGCGATGCCGAAAGCGAGATCGAAAAGTCCGAAAAAGCGCCGTATCCAAGCCTGCAAAGTGAACACTCGAAGGAGGAAGATTACTCCGAAGAGACTACTTTCTCGTTCGCTTCCCCTAAGAAATCCTCTCTGGATTTCGCGTTGTACGAAGCTGATGTCGGGAGTTTTACCGACTCGGATATGCCCGTTAAGTTTTGCTGCCGTTACTTGGTGTCGTCCTTTTTGTTGGCGGGCAAACCCGGGCAATTAGTATCGGACAAGTTATTTCGCGTTAGCGTAAAGTCTCTCGCTCTGACATGCGTGGGTTACATTCTAAAACTTTATCCGCACCTGTTTACCATGACTGTGGCCAAAGAATCAAGCTGCAATGAGACAAACCAATTGATTGCAGACATTTTGCTATTTGCCAATCACCCAGATCCTCAGATCAGAGGTAATGTAGCGGTGGTGGTTGGAATCTTTTTAAAGTCTGTATTTGTTCAGTACGGCGGGTCCTTTCGCAACTTTGAGACGGAATCTCTAGCTCGACAAGGGCATGGAAATATATTGTTGGAAGACATGATAAAGTTACTTTTAAAAGTGAGTCTATACGTTTTATAAAGGACGACACCAGTCTCGAGAGTTTTTAACTTACCATCTGTTTCTGTCGAATGTACAGGGCTTGAACGATGATTCCGCGACAACTTGCCGTCAAACGTTGGACGCGTTGAACCTCTGCTTGCCAGAGTTACTAGATTCCATCAACAATGAACACGGTCTTACCATCTTAACTGCGTTGCCAAAACTTATGAAAAATCCATATTTTCTCGTGAAAGTAAAATTAGCGGACTTGTTGAGCAAGTTATCGTATATTACAATAGAGCACATAACGGGGCAATCGTTATTCCAAGAACACTTTATCGACGTTATAATAGCGTTATTAGGTGATCAAGACCAAAGGGTGAGACACGCCGCATCGGACGCGATTGTTAAGTAAGATACACATTTCTAGTTGTACAATTAATTATTTACTCGATTCACAATATCGTTTCACGTTTCTTTTTGTTAATTCAGGAGTATTCCGCGTTTATATTTTCGACACCCTCAAGAGGATACCATTACGAGGAAGGCCACGCAATACACTCAACAGTATTTAAGCGCGGTAACGTCAAGTATCTCGGAACTGTCGTCGTACCAAGATAAACATAAGCCGTTCGTGAACACGTCCATCAAGCCCTTTGTATTTCTGAATTATTATAACGGGACGAATTACGATTCTAGTCTGGAATATTCTCTATCCCGTATAGTTAATATCCTAACGGAGATACTGACGGTGCATTCGTCGAAGTATCTAATATACGGATGTTGCGAGACCCTCTTCTGTTTGAGCGAGGCTTATCCTACTACGGTTTACGTCAGAGGATGGGACTGTATCCTACCAAAGACGTTGCTGAAAAAATCTAAGAAGAACAGCGACCGATCGGACACTAATGACTTTAGTTTCGTAAATGAGATGGTTTCCTCCCCGATGTGCAGCGGTCTCTTGTCACTGGCATTACCGCTATTAACGTCGTCGACCATTAGCTTAGATTTGTCCACGCATCGACACTTGATCCTCCTCGCTGGCAATCTGACTTCCGGGTTAGCCGTCTGCAACTTTAAGACCGGCAGCGATCCGATGAAACTTTGGAACATGTGTAAGGACAGATACATGGAACTACTGATGACGCACATCACGAGAGTTCTCAATATCTTCGTTCACGTCATCGACGAGGTGCAGCTAATGCAGGCAAGCGCCAAGCCCGTGTTACCGTCCTTGTCCACGCAAACGTTGTCGCCCAGGAAGAAAATCATGTCGGAGCAAAAATCGAAGGAGAAGGGAGAAAAGATCGGCGTCTTGAAGAGCGGGAAGGAGCAAACGGGAACGTTCATCGGCATGCCGCATTATATGAGGATATATGATATTCTGAAGGCGGCGCATTCCAATTATTCGGTCACTCTGCAGCACGAGGCCAGCGAGATGTACATTTCCCTGCTGAACGCGACGCTGGACGTTCTCTCGCAGATCCTTGAAATCGCGTCCGTCAACGATGCAGGTAGAATAGCGGAAGAGGTGTTATGTTACCTAAAAACCACCGTCGTATTGTCGCCAACAGCAACGGTTCAATGTGTGCAGCAACTGCTGAAATGCTTGTTCGGCACGAACGTGTGCGCGCAGTGGAGCGAGTTGGACGTCCAGAAGAATGTGGAACGATGCGGCACGCTGCAAGATGATGCCAGGGGTTTTTATAATCAGTGCTTTCAACACCCCGCCAGACAAATGGCGAACACGATCAAATGCATCGGGAATAATTGCAGAGGCGAAAATGAGCCGGATAACGGGTAAGTATTATTCCGACACTTCGATAGTTGTACCGCACGCAACTTGACACGTTGATGTCTTCTCTTTCGCTTCCAGGTGGATAGGATTGCTGCGCAGAAAAAGCGACCGTAAATTTTCGTCGGTGTTTAAGACCTTGGCGCGATCCTCGGATCAGAAAACGTCCGTCGCGTCCTTTATCCGGCTCTTCGAACCGATGGTTATAAAGTCTCTGAAGCAGTACACTGTTACGAGTAACATCGCGCTGCAGTGCCAGGTTCTGATGCTGCTGAGTCAGCTGGTCCAACTGAAGGTCAATTATTGTCTGCTGGACTCCGACAAAATATTCATCGGATTCGTGTTAAAACAGTTTGAATTTATCGAGGAGGGCCACGTACAACAAACCGAGGATCTGTTGCCGAGAATGTTCAATTTCTTGGTGCACCTGTCGTACGAGAAGAATCATTCCAAGGTGATAATAGGCGTACCGAAGATAATTCAGTTATGCGACGGTCTGATGGCGAGCGGACAGCCGGCAATCTCGCACTGTATACCCGCGCTCGCGCCCGTCATCGAGGATATCTTTCTTATTCGTAATGGAAGCTCGAGCGTGGTCGAGCAACGGGAGTTGGAAACAACGAGGGACGTGCTAATAGCCATGCTGCTGCGTTTGGTGGAATATCACGAGGTAGTCGAACTCTTGGCGCTATGTTTGGCCGAGTCTAGATTTAGCGGGGACGGTAATGGCGAGGAGAAATGGCGAAGATGGTCCAGACTAACAATGGACACTGTGCTTCCAATACTGGCCGCCGGGAAGCTCAGAGTAGAATCCGAGAAGGCTCACGTCGCGTTGGTGAAACTATTCGCGGCAATCTCGCCCACGGTCTTCCGGCCGGTGGATCCGCTCCTAAAGATACTGTTCACCGCGTCAATATCCGCGACCGCTCCAATCCTCAAACTGCAGCGCTGGTTAGGCATGATCAACGTCGTGCTGCTCTCGTTGATCTCCTGCGCGAAGGAAGAGGCGATGCTGGCGCGTCTCTCGGACCTAAGCGTATGCGTATCGGACGTGTCGCATCTGTGCTCGCCACTTCGGAGCTCTTCCTCCCGCGAATGTGCGGATCCGTTGAACGCCTCGAGCGTCCAGTCGCGCCAAATGCCGCCTGAGCAGGTATTAGCCAGATTTATATTCAAGGTGATCAATCTGATAAGCACGAAGGTGTTCAGTCTGCTCGGTCTGATAAATCACAAGTCCGCGGATCCCTTCGTCGATTTCTCCGATTACACGGCGGACGACAATTACCTCGTCCATCAGTTCGCGTTCTTCCTGCAATTGTGCATTCATATGTTCGAGTCCGGCAGTCATTGCAAAGTGGCGAATGCAACGATGCAGATGATTCAGGGGCGCAACGTGTCCGATGAGGAGAAGTTGCTCATTGACGACTTGAACTACTTGATGCTCAGCATCGGGAATGTGTGCCCGACGGTGACGTGCCAATGGGCGTATTTGATGATCCTGTTAGGATATAACGAGATGTCCTTCTGGTCGAAGGTATTGGGCACCAACAAGACCGATGTCCGGACGAACGAGAGGAAGATGCGCGATTGCATCAATACCAGTACAAACATTCAAATTATTAGAAGAGGCGGGATTATATTATTCTGTGATTACATATGCGAGAATCTCAACGACGTGGAACCGCTAACGTGGCTGTTGGTGAATCATATAGAGGAGGCGATAAACGTCGCCGTCGAATCTCCGGTGAGGGATCTGTTGACTACGGCGATACACAGGAATCCGTCGGCCAGCGGGCTGTTGGTGCAAGCCGTGGCGACGAAGTGCACGGATTTGTCGCAGCCCAGTTTCATAAAGCGCCTGCTGCAGTGTATCGAGGGCGCGCATCACTCGCAAAGCGGCGCGGTTATAATGACCCTGATACCGCGGCTATTGTCCACCAAGTATCTCGCTCTGTCGAGAATGGCAGCGAAAATCGCCAGTCGCCGAGTAGAGATACTGTTGACCACCAGCGCGGAGGATGTAAAGGACCAGTTATCGAAGGACGACATCGTGAAGATCATGGACATCTTGCAGACCACCAAGCTGGCGAGGAAGCACGGCGGCTTGGTCAGCCTACTGAACAAGCTGGCTGTACAATATTACGATCTGTCACCGTTGGAGCTCGACCAATGCAGACCGTTCAATCCATCCACCGTGAAGAGCATTCAGTTGGATCGGAATTGGTTCCTGTCTCAAGTAAGACTGCGATGCTGCCACGCGAGCGCCGGCAACAATCCCATGGAATTAGCGCAACTATTGAAGGATCTGGACTTGGACGATTGCCTGAGTATTCTCTCTTGTAAAGAGTTCAATCTGAAGATCTTGAAGCACTGCGTGATATTGGGAGCTCGACTCACCGTCGAGAAGTGCCAAAAGTTGGAATTCGGAAAAGCGCAGAGCGAGAAGGATTTTGATTTCGATGCTAGCCCTCTGTACGTCGCTGCCAAGCAGTGTTTGTTGGAGCATATTCATTATATCTGCGAGTTCGTGCCGAAACCACATCAAATTTACAATCCGGAGGCGGATAACAGCAGCGGAAAGGAACTGAAGTACGCTACGAGATTCTCTGAGCTGCTGAGCGACGCTCTGTATTGGGAGATCCTCTTCACGATAATCCCAACTGTCAAGATTTACATGAAGACGTTACCGAAACTGGCCAAATATAACGTGGCGAAGATTGACATGAAATTCGAAGAGGATATCGCAAAGTTCTCTATCCTGTGCCTCGAACTGGCGCATTGGATGATCTATTCGGACAGGAAAGGTACTCATAGATTGCGGCCGCACGACATGGAGCTCGCGCTGAGTTGCGCGGCCGAAATTCTGCGGCACGCCGCTCCAAGTAAAATTTTCGGTGAGAAGAACGCGCGTCACACTTGGGTTTGTTCCGCGGCGATCTCTCTGACGAGAGTCGTGGAGAGTATTCTGACGACGGTGGACCCCTTGCCGACTATGGATTGTCAAGCGCTGGAGCCGGCTCTCCAGGACGAGGATACGAAGGACTACGCCCGGGCGTGCATTCAAATGGCGTCGATAGTGGCCTGGCTCGAGAAGTGTCAGGCGGATGGCACCACGAGGAACATACCACCGTATCTGTTTAACACGATAAAATCACTGGTCATCAGCATAAGTCGCCAGGCATTAGTAAATTCTTACATCTTGACGCCTCCGTTGGTGTGGAAACGGGGCTGTCATATCGTCGGCTCGGGTCCCACCAAGTGCTACTTCCCACTGATGTCGTCCGAATCCAATCTGCTGCAGGAGGTGGACGTCTTGGAGCAGTTTATCTACCGGGTAAATCTACTGGGTTGGACATCCAGGTCGCAGTTCGAGGAGATCTGGATGGCGTATCTGAGCGTGCTTAACTTCCTGCAAAACGAGAACACGCCCTCGGACGAGATCGCGGCTTTGATTCAAGCGAGCAGCCTGGCGATTCAAGCGATAACGAGATTGTTGCTGGAAACCCTGCTGCTACCGTGTCCCGGCAATCCCGGCGCCAGCACCCTGATCCACCATCCGAGAGATCCTCAGCTTTCCGTGCATAAGACCAGCTCCCAGAAGCTGTTCGCGGTACAGGAGCTGCTCCTGTGGAAGTACGAATACATGAACGACGCGGATAATAAAAATGGCTTGAAATTGGACCACATATTCCAGCGGGGCAACGTAGAGAGAACCGCGGTTTTCGACAGATATATGTATAGCCAACTGTCGGTCTCTTATTTGTGGTCCCTGTGCAATCTATACGAGGACAAGTTGAACGCTTCCGTTCTCGACTTGAAGAACAGACGGAACGACGCGCTGATGTCGGCCTCCCTCGATCTAGACTCCTGCTTGCGCTTTCTGATCGAGCACTACACCATCTGGACGTCACCGCAGGCTAACACGCCCGTACAGCTACTGACGGAAATTGTCAAGTCGATTCTAGCGATCTCGGAACTCTTCCTCGAGAGATCGCAGTACCAGTGGATGCTGGACGTGTGCCTGGAAGTTTCGAGGGTTCATCCAACGGAAAATGCGATCTTGCATCAATACCTGGCCGTCTCTGTGTGTAAAGCCGCCGCCGTTCTAACGCCTTTGGTACGCGCAAGAAATTTCATTTACTATAGAAAGATATTTCTTGTTTTTAACTAACATTATATTCGCAGGACTTGGACACGTTGGATAAAGTGAAGCGCATAGTGGATGTGAATTTGAAGTCGGTATTCCTAGCTTCCAGAGTATCCGCGCTTCACGGTTCTTTATACCTCCTACAAAGTGCAGTGCTGGCCAAATGCGAGGAGACGATGAATATTATACATCCCCTAGCCATTGAATACATACAGAAGCACATTGACTCGCAGGATTCGAATAGGTAATTCGAGATGAGGTCTAATTTAACTGTATTTGCTGAGAAAATATTGAACACATCTATTAATTTGTCCGATACTATTTTGTGGCCTAATTCGTTGTCGTTTCGACGCAGCATTCTAAGTCAGAGCGAGGAGCATCAGGGTGTAATGTGGGCTCTGGTGTTCTTCCTGTTGGAGCATGCGGAAGATACACCGCCGGACACGGAAGCGCCGGCCGTGTTGGAATTAGTCCTCTCTCTAGTCACATCCCAAAATATTTCATACGGTTTACATCAAACTCTACTGCAGGTGTGTCACGGCATTCCTCGCCTTTTGATTAATGTATAAGTAACGCAAATGTACGGAGAGTATCAATTTGTTTTGATAGGGTCTTGAGAGGCTTGTGGCAACGAAGAGCGTCGTCGGCAAGGTCGCCGAGCAGATCGTGAAAGTCGCGATGGACCGGCTGAAGCAACCCAGCCCCCTGCTTGCGTTACCGGCGTTGCAACTTCTGCTGACGTGCATGTACACGGAGGCGGCTGATCGATTGAATCAGCCTGGCGTCGAGGAACCGTTGCCGGATGTGGAACCGGAGACGCTGGTCCGATCTATCGAGCGTACCTCCGCGATATTCGACAAGATCCGCAAGGGACATTCCATGGAAGTGGAGGTGCTGTGCACAGTTCTGTCCTGCCTGCTTGGAGACTTCTTCCCGCCGTCGGAGATCCTCACCAAAGTCATAGGGGAATTCCTGTCCCCGCAGCAGCCACATCCGAGATTACTCTCGGCTGTTGTCTTCAAAGTTCGTAAATTTGATCGAAGATCTCGAATTAGAGCGCGATCGAACTGCGAGATAAAAGTGAATGCGAATGTATGATCCGATCTGATTTTGCGCCAGGTCTGTGAGAAAGCGTGTACCTGCACGGAAATGGAGCTCCTTCAAGATTGGGTGGTCTTCAGTTTACCGAATTTCATTCAAAGCTTACCGATGGCAATGTCGACTTGGTGCTTATCCTGTTTCTTTATAAGCGCGTCAACAAACCATTGGTTGAGAGCTTTGTATCCTTTTCTCGCCGACGTAACTTTATAATTTTCTATAGGGAAGTAGGGAAGTAACACGATTCCTTAGCTATAACATGGTAGATTTCCGTATGTCCAGTCAAGGATAGGAAAATACGAATATGAAGACAAGAAAATATTGTGTATAGCGGCTTCGGATTTTTACCACAAGGTAGATTACTTAAACGTTATTTATCTACTTTGGGCATCTATTTTATTTAATGATCTATCGATTTCAGCTACCCAAGGAATCTCAAAAGAAAGCATTCGTCGAGACTTTCGAGGCCGCCGCGAAGGAACCTGGAACTCCGTTTAGTGATATTCTAGCCTCCTTTTAGATAAGTGCCGTAGTCAGGAGATACTCGAAAGAGAAGAGAAATCCTATCGTATAGAATATTAAACTCAGACTGTAAAAAAAAATCGATGTACAATCACTGATGCGTTGGCGCGCTACGTCACGCGTGTACATTTGTATGTATGATGATATTTATTTTACATTATGTCCCGTCAAAAGAGAGATATGCAACTTGTTTTGCAATAAACAGTATTTTTTAAGCAAAAATCGTGTTGCATAAATGATTCACATGATACATCCTTTTCGACGATCATCCACGGAAGCATCACGTTTTGCATATCGTCGAATTGAAAGAAGGTACTTGTTGATTTCAAACGAGGTACTTTTTGGAATGTTTTCTCTTATAAATAATACTGCTTTTTTTCTGCAACAGATCGTTATTTTCTTGGTCACGAGTTTCTGTCGAAAATTAATCGCGCACGTTTTATGTTATCCATTATAATCGAAAATACACGCGACAGATGCACATATAGAAGTATTATTTAAATTGCGGTTTTTTAGCTTTGTGATATTTTTATCAATGCAATAAACCAATCGTTTGTATAGAATTAATGCGACATGTCGCAGCGTATGTTAGTATTTTAAAGGCAACGAATTTTAATTGATTATTTTTAGAGCTTTAGCACGTGCAATAATTAATAAATACGGCGTTCCGCTTTTCCAAATGGATTCAATACTCCACCCCCAGCATTAAATTTCCTCGGATCTCAAATTTTTGTGATGAACCCGAATCAAAACACATTCGCATCGTAACGCGTTCGTTTCTTTTTTTCTATGTGTCACGTGTGTGATATACAATCTTTCGTATGAGCTATATACTTTTTTTTTACATTTCTTTGCGCTCGCAATTTTAAACTCGCGAAGATATTAGTAATCGAGGGAGCGGAATTTATTATACGATCTTCGAGAAATGGAAATTATGTGCTGGTGATGGTATTACGAGTCCAGTTCGAGCTTTCCCGGTGGAATTTCGGTGTCATCGGACGCAAGAGTCCTTGGCGGAGCTCGGATTATGCCACTGAATACGGCCGATACGGTAAGTTTTAAGAGGCTCAAGTTTCCGACTGCATTCTCGCACCTCGGTCTCGACCACAACTTTTATTTCAGGAAACTATGGAGCTGTACAAGAGAATGCCCGGATCGTATCGTCACGGTGAGTTCTGCTTTAATTGTGGACAAAACGAACGCGAGGACGTGCCGCGCAGTATCGCGATGCGCAAGAGGAGAACGAGGAATTATGAGAAGCATTGTCCCTCGTGTCACTGCCCGCCTGAGAGGCGAAGATTTTCTTCACCTGGAAGACTAAGGTGAAGATATTCCCTCTTCTGGTGCTCGGCTGATTAATAAAGAATAGCTGTAAATTAGTGATCAACTATAAATTTGACATAAAATCTATGCAGACTTAACGCGTGCGATAAAACTTAATTTTTTTCTTTTCTTACCTCTGCAATTTTGTTCTTCACGCACGAGGTAGATTTCTTTATTTAGTGTCCTCGATATTTTGGTCTTTATATCTTTTCTCATTAGACAGTGACCCCGAATGAACTTTTCTGAGCGGAAAAAATGCATTTCTTTTTATTATTCAAGAATCTGCACTCATTTTTAACGTTGCAATCATCATGGCTTTAAGGGTTTTTAATTCCATTGTTGTAGATTAATTGCAAAAATAATTAAGCTTTATTAATTGAAAGAAAACAGTGCTTTCTCCAATTATAAGTTTTCAATGAGAGAATGAATAACTCTTTCTAATTGGGTACGAGGTTGCCTTCAAGAACTTCGGAAAACGTGGAAGCGATGATAAATCGATGCGAACGCGTCTTCGCGGAGCCGATCAGTTCGGCTATTAAAAAGTCGCAGAGCAGTCCTTTGACGCAGAAGCTATGCCGGCACGAGTGTCAAGCGGATGTTCATCCTTGTTATCCCAGAAGACCGCCGCAGGCCCGCCATCAGCGAAGAATCGAGCACGACAGACACCTGTTCAAGATGAAGGGAGACGCCGCGAACTCGGAACTGACCAACGAAGATATCGCAGTTTGCTCCAAGTACACTGTACCTGTCAAGAGTTCGCTGAAGAAACACAACCGTTGCAGACAGCCTGAGGTGTGTAACACTCACTCTTTGATAAATAATTATTCGTAGTCTATATAATTCTAGAAAAAAGGAAAAGTATAATTTATTATAAAAAATGACCGAAGGGGATGTTTCGTCGTCTCGATCGTTTTCAAATTTAGCTGATATCTTCTAGAGATCGCCAGACGAGCAGGAATGTTCCGAGAGCGAGGCGTCGATGAAGTATACCCCGCGCGTTCTCCAGTCGAGGAAGTCGCGCGTGCCGGATCCCGGACCGAGGCGTCGCTACGTCGGCATCGGGGACGGCGAGTACATCGCGGAGGTGAGAAACGAGAGCGACGTCGAGTCCCAGGAGATGAGGAAGCTCGTTCTGGGCCTCGAGGACCTGGAGAGGCTGAAGCGAGGCGACGGCGAGGCGACGGTGACGATGAGCGAGGACGACAAGAGACTCGAAACCCGGAGACGGAGACCCGACGTTGCGAGAACGACGAGATCGAGAAAGCCCGGGGACGTTGCCTCTCGTTGCGCAGCGAGCAAGTCATCCGCGCTGATCGAACAGTCAATTAATGGACCCACGAAGGAATCCGCACTTGATGGACCCGCCCATCAAACGAAGCTGGATCTCCACACCGCGAAAACTCGCCTTTTGGAATCGATCGACCGTATGCTCGGTACCATGGACAACGCGAAAGTACGTATTTAACGATACGCATCTTAACTTATTCGTCAATCTTGCACATATACGCGTAGAACATGTACTTATCTTTTACTCGTTTATATCGGGAAAGATATGCAGAGTGAGGAAAATTCCCAAATATAAAATTCGGAAACAAAACGTAAGAAAAATAGATAGATTGATTTTAGGAGAAAATATAATGAATGTAACTGTGACAAAATTTTTTATAAATATCAATGCCGATAATTTTTTTAACGATATTTTATAAAGATATTTTATAAAAATATTTTGTAAAGATATTTTATAAAAATAATTTTCTTAAGAAGTTGATTTTTTACACGATTTCATTTCTAACTTCGGTTTTTCGCTTCACCTTCTGCATATCTTTTTCTCTTAATTTGACCAAGAAGATATTACGACGATCGAATATGCCTGCATCGGTGCGATAAATGTTTTCTGTTGTCAGAACGACGCGCCTGTGCAGCAGCAGGAACAAACGGAGCAAGAGACCGTCGAGAAGATAACTCGCGAACTGCAGGAGAACGGCTGGCAGTTATTGCTCAACGGTCTGACGATCCGTAGAGACTCAGTGGACACGAGCAGGCGATTCGTACGTTTGGAATGCCTGAATCACATTCGGCAGCAACTCGACAAACTTTACGCTCTCGAGTCAACTTTGGACAATTGCCCGCCTAAGCTGCAGCCACTGTCGAGCCGCGATATGCCGCGCGACGAGGAACGTCAACAGTTGCAGCATCAATTGGAGCAGAAAACTACGGATTCTTGAGCATGCCGATAACCCGCACGCATGCTTTGTTCAAGTCCATCTAAGCACCATCACAAATTCCGAGGACCAACGATTTCGTCGATTATGCACAAAAAATGACATATATTATATTTTATACATATATATATTTTTTTTTATGTATCGTGGATGTTTATAGAATGCTGGGACGAAATAATCGGGAAAGGGCGAATATCGTTGCGCCGTTAAAGGTGCAGAAGTATATTAAAATGTCTATACGAGCGCATGTGAATTAATTTAAACGTATGAAATTTGATAAAAATACCAACGCAATTCATAAAATCCGGCGTTATTGCTCACTCATAATTTTCAGAGTTAAAACCATGGCTAGCCGTTCCCTTCGGATCGGAGATTTTAATTGGTAGCAATAGCTTTATTGTTGAAACGTTTTAAGTACATTAGAGTACATAACTAGTCTACCTTCCTCTCGCTTTCAAGCTAAACAAGGTATGTGTAATATTAAATCGTTTCCATTCGGTACATAGCTTTCCTTGCGAAAGGTGGCGCATAAATTTATTATGTATAACATATATATAGATATATATGTACTTTAGGCTCTCTCTATCTCCCTCTGCGTTCACTACGTACGTATACTCTCAATATACATACATATATATGTATATATAGTTGTCTTTGTATGTGTATGTTGTGTGTGTATTATATATATGTATATTTAAATATATAAATATATATAATACTTATATATATATTTATATATGCGACACTGGTAGAACAATTATTTACACAACGTTGTAATAAGCTATGACTAGATATATATTGACGCGTTAGGATATAGTTCTGGAAACTTGAATAACGACGGAAAGAGACACAGGTCGGAGAGATCCCGGTAACGTTTTTTTTTTTTGCACTTTGTACGACAACGCGTGAACAGCGCGGAAAGGGATAAGGAAATCAGGAAACTTCCCTCGACGGCTGAAAAGCGGTATGGACAAAATAGCGAGTCTATATCACAGCGGCAGCCGATATCGTTGTATTCGTTGTACATCTACTTTCTTCATAATGTATACAGTTCTTTTTTTTTTCTTTAAATATGTCTTATGTGCCTATATAATTATGTGTTTCGTTATAATTATGAATATACTTTCGAAGCTGCCATCGACCGGCTGCGTCTGCCGCTTGCGTCCCGACTGCAAAGAAGAGAGGCAGGATCGAAATGCGAAAAGCGAGGCGTCGAGTAAGATCACGGAGAAGAAATAACTCATCTGAGAGACAACTTATCGTACGATGGGGGGGGGGGAGGATGGGTGGGTTCTCTCCTTCGCGATTTAACAGGTACGAACGTATTCGAACGTATATACGCGACGAAGACTGGGATAATACTGCGGGTAGAGGAGAAACGGCCGTATAAACTTAATTAATCAGGTAATAATGTATATATCGGCAATATATATATATAGTCTTCTAAGTACACAATATCGTGATATAAAATCTACGTATTATATCCCGGTATATGCCTATATCGTTAACGTCGCCCGACGTTATCCTGCCCGCTGCGTTTTGTACAAGTGTACTCGATGTGTGTGTACGTGTCTGTGTGTAAAGATAAATATATCGTCGTCGGCCTCCCCGCGTGCGATCCTCCGGGAACCGCTGGAGGTAATGGGGAACATCGTAGAGGACGGGCGCGATTCACGGGAATTACAATTATAAGAGAGAAACGTCTAAAAAGGTACGTTATTGACTTCGATTACACGCTATTAAGGACACCCTCGAATTGATCGACGTTCGGACGCGTCCCGAGAAGCGGGACACAGGGGGAGGAAACGCGCGCGCGCGCGCGCCCCCCCCCTTCTTCCCGTCCTCCAAGTCGCCCCCGCGCTCTTCTAATTACTACTAATAATTGCCACAGGTGAATTGACTCTAAACGACACACCGGTTCCCCGAGCGATCGTCGAGCGTTTTTCGGGCCGACGGTTTCGGGCTGCACGGTAGAAAAGAAAGTCGCCGGAAATTAGACGGGTAGACTCCCCCTAGCAAACTCTAACAATAAGTCCTTAACGTTTTTTCATTCGTTGATGCTCGAGGTGCGGACCCGCGGGGTCCTCGCGCGGCTGCTCTCCACATCAGGGGCCGTCGCGCGACGCCAGGTGTTTTCACCTCCTAAAGATTTCCCCGTGAATTTTGTGTCACCGCTAGCCGTTCGCGAAACCCAAGGGTATAACTATATAGTACGCCTCCGGGCACACGGAGGCCAAAGAAATCCCTAAACCCTCTCGCTTCTCCGTGTGCACGCGAAGCTCGTTCACCAGGTTCGCTGGGTACCCCCCCTCGAATTATGCGACCGACGCCGCGGTACGGAACCCGCGAAATCGACGGCGAGACTGGTCCGCTTTTAATGAAGATCTAAGGCGCCTTTTTTTTTTACTGTCGGTCGGCGCTTCCTAAATCCTGGAAGCCGTGCGTCGATGCGTCCGACGCCGAGACGCTCGTAGAGTTCTGGCTACACTTCCGGTCTCGTCTCGAGGTCAAATAAAGCAGGGGCCTCGAAGTACAGCCCAGTCACTTCGCCATCGGCACCGAACGCATCGCGAATATAGTATATATTATTACATATTATAATAATAGTATTTATATGCATAAATCGCTCTAACGCGCTAACAATAACGGACAAACGTAGTGAACAAACACGTTGAACGGTCAATAGTCATTACGATCTAAGCTTCTTCGCATTATATTATATATATTATATATATTATATGTATGCTAAATTTATATAATCACACTAAAGCGTCTGCGCGATCCTTGCGATTTCTTACAAATTTCATTACCTGCGATCGTTTAATCCCGATTAAGCAAACAGCCGATTAAGGATGCAACCCCAACGAGCTGCATCGACAGAATGTTTGCTCGCAGGATTCTCAAATATGAACATATACGAAAGAGAATTTTTTTTTTATTGACTATTCATTCATATTGACCTAAGTTTTCCGTTTTGTCATTCAAATGAATTTTAATATCTTGGGCGATATTTTCACCTTTAACATCTCCACCGTATATTTAATATTATTGACACTTTAATTTATATATTGCTATAATATTCGATTTTTATTTTTTTCGATGCAGCCTCATCTCTTGCGATTCCTGCGGGAATTCCGTCGGCTCGTCATCGATGCCGATTCCGGCGCGCTCGAAAGATCAAAGGATCCCGGAAGCGGAGGTACGCCGATTGTTACCGTGGGTGGTGGTTCCTCTTGCCCGTCTAGCGATTTTACAAGTGACCCTTTTCGCGAATCGGTCTCAAGGAACGCGCAGTATAATAGTGCTGGTTGTAGATACTTTCATTCGGATAAGGCTGCGTTAATTATTGTCACTTTCAGCGCTCGTTCGTCCTCGTGGAGAACCGAATTCTCTCGCTCCCTCCCCCTTCCTTCCACCGTCTCCTTTGGTCGCGGAAATGAAATTTCGCTTGCTCCATTCGTTCTCGCGATTTTTCCGCGCGCGTCGAGGAATGTGAATTTACTCCCGGTCACTCGGGAGAGATAATTCGCTCGGTTCTTTCTTCGCGTGGCGCTTCAAGACATTTTTCTTTCCCTTTCCTTTTCTTTTTGCTGCTCTTTTGGAAAAAAAAGTGATTTTACGTTTACACTCACGCTAACGAGGGATCTCCTTTGATCTCGCGAAGTCTCGTCTCTTCCGGTTACTTGGATGGCGGCAAAAGTACATTTTTAACGAAACCCGAATTAAATATGTCATAATCACCTTGCGTATAGTCTACCTCTCGCGTCTTAAGAAGCGCGCGAAGATATTTCCTCTTATCTCACATTTTACGCAGTACGTCGCGCTCCGATATCGCGATAGAAAATATATTTAAAAAATATACAAGTAGGTGTGTTATATCCATCGTGTCGGATAATATAAGGATCGCGCGTAACGTTGCGACAACAGTCCTAGAGAGAGAATTCTCTCGCCCGCTCTCGTCAAATATTTTCACGTTCGTAACAGCTCCGCAGTGATATCGATTTCCGACGATTCGCACAGCACCGTTAACAGTCTTAACATTTAGCTGTAGATATGACGCTCCTAAGATCTATTCTAACAAGCCACACCTCTACACTCTGGATCTTTTTACTCTATTTAGGATATAAAACGATCAATTGTCAAGACGCATTCCCCTTCCATGGTACTCAGGCATTTGCGCAATATGGCTGATATATAAAACGTATCACATCTTCTTTTCTATATCGATTCGAACAAGTCTCGCGCGACGTACAACGAGGTCTGCGACTAAGAGTTGAGATTGAAGCTTGGAACTTTGCGACGATCGTTTTTAATGACCGATTTCTGATTTTAGTAAACAACTGTCGCGATATTGCCGCCAATACGTCATCGAACGGTAATTACAATTTAATACTAGTATTCGTATTGTCTGTCCGAAAACTTAGGTGCTTGGGAAAATTCATAAACTTCCTGTACTTTCACCCGAATTGTGGAAAATTGATCGGGGACTCGTTAGTCGAACGGAAGCAAGCAAAATACTCTTTTGTCACTTTCGGTAGCACCAATAGGATACAATGCCTGTGTACTCACGCGCGAGCACATATTGTCTAGATTTTCTACAACAGCCTAAAAAGAAAGAAAGCTCAACGACAAGCTCTTTGCTCTTACCTAAAATCTCGAACGGTCGCTTCAACAATTTCACAGCAAGCTAAAAATCGTGCTTCTTTCCGACATGCAGCTACCCAGCTACCTTCTAAGCTCTTCTGTCTCTCGCTGCCTCTTCGTTATCGAGTAGGAAGAAGAAGAAGAAGGGAGGAAAGGGACGTTCGAACGAGGTCGCTGAGCGTTTTACGACGATTTACGACCGTGCGTGCGTCATCGTTCGCGAGCCAATCGGCCGGAAACTCTTGCTCCGGACGATCGTTCCGCGTTGAGCAAAGCAAAGGTCGGAAACGAACGAGGCGTCTTTGCATTAGAACTTGCTGGGGCATACTGGCGGATTCATCTCGCCGAAGACGTTGAGCTCATAGAGCGACGCGAACATGATGAATATCAAGTACCAGACCATCAAGACCATGCCGTATCGTCGGTCAAGCTTCCAGCCGTTCAGGTGTGTCGCCACCACTAGGAATAGCACTGTCGATAGCAGGGAAACGGTGGAATATGTCAAACCTGATAAGAACGAGATGTATAAATAATATAGAATACAAATATGTACGTTCTGTAGATAAAGAGATTTAAAAAATAGATAGATAAATCCGCGTACCTCTGCTGGTGACGTTTACGTGCGAGCCAGGCTGTATCATAGCGGTCTGTATGAACCACGGAAGACCGAGGCATACTAGGATGTCGAAGACGTTGCTGCCCACGGCGTTGCTAACCGCCATATCGCCCAGACCCTCCTTGATGACCGCCAGCGAGGAAAGAGCGTCTGGCACGCTCACACCGGCGGCAACGAAAGTCAACCCCATCACAGTGTCGGGAATGCCCAGAGTGCTGCCTGTAAGTCGGCCACTTTGCTAAAACGACTGCACTCGAAAAAAAAATAGCCGCTCGCGGTTCGAACGATAACGTTACCTATGATCGTGATCATCCACACCATTATGTAACTGTAGAAACTGATCCAGATCATCGATATGCAGAACGTGAAGGGATACCAGCTCCGCCACTTTTCTTGCCGGCAGTCCGGCATTGTCGCCCGGCACATGAAATGGATAGGATACACAAGGCCCCAGGTAAACATGGTCCACTTGCTACCGTCCGTCGGCATCACGAGAGGCGACACTTCATTGGGATTGGGCTCCTTCGCTTTGTAATAATCGGGCTGCCTCGGTGCTGGCGGCTGCTGTTGCTGCTGCTGGTGTGGCTGTTGCTCGATCGTTTCTTGAATGCCGTTTCCTGGAAGAGAGATGAACAATGCATTCAGATTTCTAGAGAATACACGAAAGATATGAATTGACAAGATTATTTGATTACCTTCTTGATTCTTCATTTGCTCGGTGACCGGCGAGTTGGGACCGGTATAAGATAATCGATCCTCCTGTAAGGATCTGTAGCTAACCAGGGCACTCTCTTCGGCGGGTTCGTCGTCTTTCGGCAGGAACGGAATATTGTACGATTTCGCCCAACGTTCCAACTTAACATTGAACGAGAGCGCCACGCAATAGACCGCGTACATGAATAACATGAAGAGAGACTCCATCCTGAAAGGCATTTTTATTTCGTCTGTGAGATTCCGCGTCGGTTTCCATCTGCGATCGGACGTATGCAGGTGTGTAACGATGCTCACCAGGATATGGAGTCGTTGTAAATCACGCCGAGCATCACGAGGATCGAGATGGCGTAGAAAAAACAGTCTCGGCAGAGAGGCCACCAGTTCAACTTGGAGGCCGTCGCAGTGCATAGGCCGCAGATCGATATAACGAACATTATATTGAAAACGGCGCTGCCGATAACGCCGCTGACCTGAAACGCGACGAAGGAAGATTTGATTGCCGAACTCTGCACCGTTAGTCAACGAGGACGTCCGGCTCGCTGTCGAGCCAGATCCACGTAACGCGATAACGCGAGAGTGGTTCCCTTCACAATTAAGGAAAAACAAAATAAAATTTACTCGCACATCGGGTTACATAAGGTAATTTATATGATTCACGATTCAGGATGTTTAATAAACGCAGCGAAGCGTACGAGGCGCGATTAGACGACCGCGATTGCGAGCACGATACTCACTCCAATATCGTCCTTGGCGAAGAACACGCCGATGATGACCGTCGCCAATTCGGGCGCGGAAGAGCCGGCCGCCATGAAAGTGGCACCGGCGACGTCGGGAGACAGTCTCAATTCTGAAAAAAAAAAGAGGTAATATATTAATATGTTTAAAAAAGAGGCTCAACCTATTAATAAATTAATTGAAAACAAAGCCATCCAGTCATGGCTCTAAGCCCCTTTGTTTTAAATTAATACATTTAAAATAAAATTGCAAAGAACGTCTCTGTCTCGAGAACGCGTCGAACGCATCGGGAATCCAAAAGCGACCTTCATTCACGGTAAAAAGGCAGAATCGAGATGACCGTCTCTTAATAACAAATCTCGCGGCAGATCCGCGCGATGAAATACGATCCTCTTATGCAAAACTATCTACGCGTAATGCCGTAACCAGATGCGAGTCAGTGGTATTATTGATTTCAACACGTTCGCCGCAGGGGATTTTCACTCGCCTCACCTTCGCAGATCCTGTCCAAGCTCGAGACGAAGTAATCGTCGCAGACAATCGCGAGGCCCAGAAAAGTGTAGATAGCGGCCAGGACGTGTATTATGAGACCGCCGTGTTTTCTGGCCTCGGGCCCCATCAACGGTCGCGGAAATTGCTCTATGGCGGGCGCCGAACAGTTGGTCCTTCGCGGTCTCACCGTGGGATACGGATACCTCGTAGTCATCTGGGTGGTTGGGGTAGCCTGGGCCATTTTCGTGGCAAAAGAAGATTAAAAAAAAAAGAAACATTCGTTATTAATCCTTCATCACTTAACAGCATCATTCATTTTATTAATACAGATTGATCATGTCTTTATAATTCTTTCGAACGATCGAGATGTATCTTCGCGGATAAAGCCATCGTAATGTCGGCACGTTAATCCGCAATCATATGCAGTATCACGCCTGACGCAGGTGTTATGCAATCCTGCATCACGCACCGTGTATCGCGTATCTGGATTCTGATCCGGGCGACAGCTTCTAATCTTGTTTTCTCAAGACGTTACCATCCATCTGCGCCACGAGATATACAGGGTGCCTCCGCCGGAATGTACAAACCGCCAGTAAGCGAATTATCGAAATCGAGTGGAGATCACGGAAGATTAGCATCGGATTGCACCCATGATAGCTTCACAGAGCTTGGCAAGCGTAACGCAACGAAATTATGTCACAAAGTCTTTCGACTTCTGCGATTAATCTACCGTCGCATTTTGTTGACAATTGTAATGTACAATATTTCGGCGTGCTGTCGATAGAAATGCAATAAAGCGTATTGCGCACAGCAAGTCTTATATATCAAATCTATGAGTTTCTTTCGCCAACAAGATCTGTATAGCTTCGCAGAATCCACGTTCTCTACTTGACTGTCCGGCTGTATCGCGACCGGGAGGCCTGCGGGAGCACTCACCGTGGTGGTGTCGTTTCGACCGTGCCTCGGCGGTGGGGTCTCGGTACTCTTCTTCTCGGACTCCTTGGTCTTCGCGGACCCGTTCGACGCGTTGGCTTTCGCGCGTCCGTGCCCCTTCAACGGCGCCTCAGTTTTGGATCCCTCCGCATGGCTCGTCCTCCTCGTCGTTTTGACCGTCGTCGTTTGCTGTATCATTTCCTCCTCCATGGAAGTGTCGTTCGTAGACACCGGCGGTTCCGACATCCACTGTGCGGTGCTCGTTGACAGCACCGTCGTCGTCTCGGCCGACGTAGGCGCTTTCGAGACGTACTGCACGAGGACGTAGATCAGGAAGAGGCCCAGTCGCAGAGGCCACCTCCTGCGGCGCGCCTGCAGATTTCGCGGCCTGCATCTCACTGCCTGCAACTGGAACGAATTGGTCGTAGATTAGCGCACTGTTAAATTCGCAGTGTCAAATTGTACTCAATTTGAATCATTTTTAAGCATTCCTATAAGCCACTGTTCCTGCCACTCAATATGCTCGTCAATTTAACTAAAACAATGAAGTTAAAAATAATACTGGTTTTGTGTCAAAATAATAAATTTCGACACACGTGGTAGTTGAAAATAACAAAATGTTATTTAACTCAAGCTACTGATTTTAATTTCATCCTTTAAAATTTAACAGTGCGTCTCTCCCCTTTACTTTCATACTTTCGCCGATCGTGTATTTTGGTAACAAACAATCTTAAATTGGAGCGATCCAGGCGCAATCTGGACCATCATCGTTCCCCTATCGATTCCGCTTCTTTTTCTTTTCATATTTCTTTTCCCCTTACACACGCAGTTACGAGGGGCTGAGGTCTCTTCGAGCTAATTAGAGAAAAAACGAGCCCTACATAAACGCCGATATGAGGGGCAATTTAGAGATCGTATCGGTCGTAAGTTTTTATTCCGCGTCACATCGAGTTAGCTCGCGCGAGGACACGAACGACCTTCGGCGACGCGATGTCCCGTCGCGTGGAGAACGGCAACCCCCGTCGCGAAAGAAAGCGCCCTATCGGCTTTATCCCGCGTTTCGTACCTTCGCCGGGGAGGTCTTTACATCGCTCACCCTCCTTCCCGGAGTCCCCGGCTCGGCTTATATCGACGTCCCTCTTTAAGTGGCTTGTTTTCAAGCCAGCCCGATCTGGCCGCGGCCGTGTTTAGAAACACAGTTCCACCTGTGCCGCATATTATTTCATTAGTCCCAGTCTACAATAGGTGTTTTAAGCCCTAAGCCTTAAGAAAGTGTTCAATCACAATTGAATTTGAGGAGAATAATTGACTGTGATTGGTCAATTTCTTAAGCCTTAGGGCTTAACCTATTGTAGATGGGCACTTAGGGCCTAAACAGAATGGCTGTCTTGGCAGTGTTTTACACACATGTTTTACAAATGTTTTTAGTGTAAAACACTGCCAAGACAGCCATTCTGCTTAGGCCCTTAGGGCCTGAGCAGAATAGATGACTTATAATTTTAATTAAGACAATGTCTTGTGCTTTAAATCTTTGTTTTTATAGTAACGCACAATGTCTTGTGTCTCTCAAGTCTTAAACGTGTGTACGAAGTGTCAACATTTACAAGACTTGAGAGTCACAAGACAGTATTGTGCGTTACTAAAAATAAAGATTTAGAACATAAAACTCTGTCTTAAAATTATAAGTCAGCTATTCTGCTCAGGCCCTTTAGTCCCAGTCTACAATAGGTGTTTTAAGCCCTAAGCCCTAAGAAATTGACCAATCACAGTCAATTATTCTCCTCAAATTCAACTGTGATTCAACAATTTCTTAACGCTTAGGGCTTAAAACACCTATCGTAGACCGGGAATTACGATTATCGATGTCGCGTGGGTCGCGTGCCCCAGCTCGAGGGGGATTTGCGGCGCGGCGTGGGCGTCACACACGCACATATACGTGGGTGACATATATGACACGGCACCCACCGTTTAGGCATGTGTGTGCGTTTGTGTACACATTATACACATACGGCGCCTCTAAGTAACAAAACTGCCGTGTGTGTGTGTGTGCGTGTGCGCGCGTACTGTTATCAAATACTACAACGCGGCTGAATAAATCGATGATACCCTCTCTCGCATGCGTAAACTATACCCCTCTAAGAAAAGCATCGCCCGCGGGGGTTCTCCGTTTCGATCGCTCGTGAAACAAATTCCCGACATATCCGCGATACGATCATCTCCTCCTCCCCCCCCCCCCCCCGCCTCTCGGACGCGTTTATTAAAAGAGAATCGCCGTGTAAATATGAAATATCGCGCGTGTTTACATACCGCGTTTTCCCATCCCGTGATTTTATCGCGCGGGCTCTCGATATACTCGCGATGTGATTAATATAAACACGGACATTAATTCTCTCGCGAGAAAGAAATACCCGCAATGAAATACGCGATATAACAGCTCGATACATCATTTTCCGCGGAGCCGTAATTAGAGCCGCGTCCCCGGAGTCCCCCGGTGAGCTCTCCGAGAGGGCCCCCGGGGACGATTTCCATCGGCGTGCCGCGGCGCATACGAGGCATAATTCGCCGCGTTACGCAATCGCGACGGGCCGCGATTCATCAGAGATCAAAGACACGCGCGTTACATACACGGAAATCCGGTGTGGCTGAATACGAATCTGAGGGTGAGGCGAGGGGGAGAAGTCGGGGGCGCGACAGCGCGCGGCACGTGTAATCCCGTAAATGCGTACATGCAACTAACGAAGGGATTCATAGGGGGAGGGGGTAAAAGTGAGGACGGGGCGCTCGAGCGCGGTATCGGATTGTCTAATTGCCGTCGGCGAAATTAATACGCGTCCGCATATATACGGGGTGTCACATCCGCGCGGTATCGAAAGGGCCGAGCCCTTTTTCCCCGGAGGGTAATGGGGACTGGACAGAGCGAAGGGGTTTAATTGTCATCGGTCTAGCGACATTTATTTTACTACGCGATCGATCCTCGAAACGTATAATATTTTATCGAGGGCTTATTTAAATTGTCGATGAGCTTCGTTTTTCGGGTCGCTCGTTTGCCGCTCTAACAATAAGACCTCGCTGGAAAGTTCTCGACCCTTCGGGCTCGGCTCTTTTCGACACACCCCCGTATGTATAGAGTGGAATGACGAGCAATTTTCGCAATGCAATCCGCGCAATCGAACGACCACGCTGTAAATATAACTTTCGAAATCAGATTAAACGCGAAAGTGGCGTTTAATGAGCTTTTCTCTCGAGTGTGCGAAAGAAAATAAGCCATTAAATAAATTCTTTTTCTCTCCCGAACCGTTTACGCGATTAACATTTTGCGCCGATTATCAATTTGCGCTGGAAATTCATGTGATAAATAGCCGCGCGTGAAAATAATTGCATCGCGCTTCGTAAATAATCGTAATCGCGATAAAGCCGCGTCCGTGTTCCGACGGCCGTGTCAATAATGTTGCAGCGTCCGTCAATAGTCGAGTGCCCGACAAAGTCGGTTACCATTGATATTAATTACGACAGGCAGGCGCATTCAATTCCGAATCGAGCTTATTCTTTTATTACGAGAAGCAACTTCCGCGCGCAATAAAAATTTCCGATTGAAATAAAAGCCTCCCGTAGAAGAACTGATGTACGTTCTAACGAAATAGTAACCCCCACGCACAAAAGGAAATATATATATAAAGGTTCAACAATACTCCTCTATCTCTCTCTCTTTTTTGCACAATAAAAATCCCTCTCTTTTACGTATAAAAATATCTGGTCGAGATGAAAGCTGCGACCCTCCTGCCTTTCTTTGTGAAGACGCGCACGTGTATGATCCGCGGAGGAATCGATATCCTTATAGACGAGACTCTCAGAAAACGCGTTAATTAACGATGTTTTCACGGCACACGTATCCCTTTACAAAGGTCCCTAATTGGACGCGATACACAGAACGTTGGCGTCGAGGAGACACGACGTTGTTCCAACATTGAAAGTCTTCGCCTTTGCGGCCGTTCTCTCGCGTGGAAGTTGCGCTATCGGTCTTTACCATTATAAATGTTTGTACGTGCTATTTGCGGGAGATTCGCACGCTACACAGACATTACAGTTTCTCATAAGACGGAAATTTTCACGATCGAATGGCGCGCGCGCGCGAGAGAAAGAGAGAGAGAGAGAGAGAGAGAGAGAGAGAGAGTGAGAGAGATGGGAAAACTTGAAACGCGTTTATTGTGACTCGAGACTTTCTTTTTACTTTTATTAACGCCGAAGACGTAATCCGTGTTACGGAATTAGCGATTCTTTGAAATCTTGTTTACAAATATAAATATTGCCCTATGTAAAATGTTCTTTTCTGTTTAAAAGCGAAACGAAACGAATTAATATTTCGTCATAGTTCTCACTGTCCAAGTCTTATTAGCGATGTGTTTAGTAATAGAGATTTTTAAATCATAAATAAGATCTTGCTAACTAAAGCAAACAACAAATCAAGACTCGCACATCGCCTTGTCGCCCTTTTGCGTTTTTTTATCGGATAACTTGAACCCGAAAGATCCACGAAGAACAGATATCTTGCTCGTCATCCCAGTTACATTCTCCTTGCACTCGCAGTACAAACAATTTACGCGCTTGCAAAATGCAGCCACCCTATTTTCGACGCGAAAACCATAAGGGCGGCATTCTCTCGTTAGCGAGCCGGAAATCCTCGTTCGCCAAGAAACCTGCCGCGAGGAAGCGCGTCTCTCCGGATCTTTCCGGAAGTCCGTCCTTAAATTCCTCGCGATCGTCGCACCGTGTGGGAACTGTGGGGTTCGCGATATATGCCGAGACGGGATCGAGGGGACCAAACGAAAGGATATCGCTATCCAGGATACTCGCTGTCGCTTCGATAACGAGCCTGACAGCGAACCGGTGACCCGATTTCCATCGCGGACTCCCGAACTCCCGACGGGCGGGAATCCGCGCGCTCCATCGTCCGGCTTACCCCTTTATCGCCGTGCATCATCGTCGCCGTTCGCCCGTACGTGTATCGCGAGCACCACCGCTCTTTCTCTCCAGCCGGAAGACCCTCGGGTGTACCGCCGCCGGTGTGTGCGGTGCCGCCGGATATAGGTTGCGCGGCGCCGATAACGTAAACGAGGGTGGCGACGGTGCGCGCCCGCTCCGGCCGCGAGCTCTCTTATCACTTCGTCACGTAATCGCGTATCCCACGGAGAGACGAGGAGAAGGAGAAGAGGAGGCGCGAGAGAGGGTGGGCCCGCGTCTCGCTCGTCCGGAGTACTCCGGAGTCCTTCTCGCGTTCGGGGGACTCCCTCGTCCGCCACGCTGCCCACGATCGCGCTCGAATTATCGATTCGGACGCGAAAAGCTGCCCGCCGCCGCCGTCTTCGTCCTCGTCGTCGTCGTCACGGCGATGTTCCTTCGTCGATGTACCTCGTGTCCCGCGTACGGATCGCGCGCGTGTCCCACACCGCGGATCAACCGGGGCACCCCGGTTGCCGCGCGCGCACACGCACACGTATATTTACGCCCCGCGGCTGCGACTCGGCTGCTCTGCCGTCTCCCCCCTCGCTCCCTCACTGTCGCCGTCGTGGCCTGGCCTCGGCGTCGTCACGGTGCACGGCCATCCGCGCGTGTATGTGTCACGTATATCTCTCGCCTCTCGCCCTCCCTTGCCGAGCTACTCCTCTCCCTCTTTCTCTCCCTCCCGCCCTCGCGCACCCCTCCTCCGACTCGTGACGCGCGGACGACACGCCGCGGCGCCGCGTTCTTGGTCCCCCTCTGCCCCCCCGTCCCTTTACGGTATCGGCGCTCGCCCGGGGTGGCCGCTCGCCGCCCCCGCGCGATTAAATATCACGATCTCTCATCGATCGATTTTTATATCGTCTTTTTTATCGATATATATTTTCAAGCGCGCCGGGACGCGCGGATAAATGTTTACGCTCCTCGATTTCGCTAATTTAACTTGATCTTAATTATGTTCGTTATTACGTATCGCGATGATACGATATGTTATTCGGACACGACTCATTGGCGCCCCGAGGAAGAGAATTCGGGGAATGGCGCCCCCGATTTTGACCCGCGGCGCCGCGATGGCCTTGCGCACCTACGCGCACGCTTTCGTCCCCCTCTTCTCGCTCAGCCCCCCGTCCGCTCCGACGATGTACCGGCGCCTCCGCCGACGGTGACGTCGAGACGCTTGCGCGTCGCCGATCACGCCGATGATACGTCACCGATCCATCCCTCCTGATCGTTCGTTGCACTTGCTCAATGGGGAGGGGGCAGGAAAGTAGGGAACTAACGTTACTTTTTAGGTATCGATATGTAAATGTTGCTGCAATTTCGACGTACTAAATGTTCCTTATAAACATTCTTTGGCCGGTATTCATAGTCGGTTCTTATTTCAAGACCGTCTTAAGTAATGTCTTAAGACGCTAATGCCGGCTCTGTGATTGGTTCATAACATTTTAAGATCGTATTTAAGACGGTCTTAGATATAAAAACCGACTATGAATACCGGCCTTTAAAGTCCGAAAGAAAATATCGATTGAGTATTTTTACCTCCGCCGTTTTAATTCCGATATTATTATAATTATGTAATTTTACGTTTTAAAACTGTCAATCGAGATCGAATAATAATTTCCCGTAATCTGCGAGCGAGGTCGTTCGTTGCCCCCCCGAGATCGTTCAACCGCTTCGCGGAAAAGAGCCGCGGCTAAAATTATCGGCTATCGCGATATAGCTTGGTATTATTGAACCATAAGCTATATCCGGTCTAGCATCGGCGCCAAATATAGCGGGATATCCGACATTGCGACTTGCGATATACGTTGCTCGTTGAAGCCTCGATTAATTCCAACAGAGATATATTTCGAGGTCTAGCTAGCTCGCGCGATGAGCCGTCGAAGTGACTTTGTACGTAAAATCTGATAAGATTTGTTTCTCAATTTGGACGATTTGTACTTTCTCCCGTCGACATTTCATTAATATATATATATTTAATTGTAGAAGCTGGGGATGAAATCCATAATAGGATTCGTGTAGAATATATAAATATATCTTAATTTCTTACAGGTAAAAAGGACACATTTTATCCAGTTTTTTTTTTATAAATAAGAAACATAACTAGCTTGTTACATGGGGTTCTGATGAAACTTTACGGAATAACCACCACTGTTGGGATCCTTCTCCAGCTCGAAGTTGTTTGTGGAAAGGCCAAAGGGTTTCAAAACCATGTTCCCTAGATCCTTCAGTTTGCCCAACATTTCTGTCTTCAGCTTCTCGTTTCTCTCCTCGATTAACGGAGGTAACCTCTGAAAGACGAGCAATTGTGATGTAAATAAATTGTAAAAATAAAGTCCTGCATTTTGTATACATGATCCTTTTAGAAGAAACCTGACCTGACAAAACTTGGATTTTTAAATTTTGGCAATTCTAATATCTATAAACTATTTATTACTAAAACTAGTTCGAGGTTGCTGTTTTTAAAATTGAAGAAGAAATCAAGCTTTAGAGACAGGAAATTTACCTATCTCGTATAATACAAAACATCTCGAGCACTCGCAACCCGTTGCGTCGCGTAAAAGAGTCACGGTCGGTCTCGCTCCGCGTATACTTGGCGCGAGACACTACCGTGTCTCTTGATTTAATTTATTCGTCGTAAAACAAAGATGAATTAAACAAAAAACTGTTTTATGAAATTCTACTTATTCTTTTTTTATGATACTTGAATGTTCCAAAATTTTAAACACGTTTTCTCGAAAAAGTTGATCTTTGTTCTGCCAAGTTTCCTCAGAAAGTCACACTTTACATAAGCAATAATTGCACATTACGCATACCCTGACAGCGTGATTAGCTTCCGTGTGACTAGAATCGAATGTCAATACTTTCTTGAAGTCCTCTAACGCCTCATCCAGCTTCTCTGTCTCTTCGTACAACTGTGCTCTTCTTATATATGCCTTTACGTAACTTGAATTTAATTCGATGGCTTTGGTACAATCCGATATCGCCGAATCCTTCTCTGTCTGGAAACAATGACCAACTTAGTAAGGCATAAACGCACCAATATCTTATCCGTAATCTTGGGTCTTCGACAATCACCTGACACTTCGCTTTCGCCGCCGCCCTATTCGCGTACAATATAGATCTTTCTTTGCTATACACTAAAGGACAAGTCTGCAATCCCTGTGTGTACCGCGATATCGCCTGTACGTATTCGCCACTTTTGAAAAGGTCATTCCCCACCTGCTTTAGATTTTCTGCTTCCCCTTTCAATGCCTGCAAAAGTAGACAGATTACAATGCATGGAAATTTTTTCACAGAATGTTGAGTAAATCTCTGTACATAATTGTTTTCAGATTAATATAACGGTAACTTTTTTAACTGGAGTGTGAAATCAGGACAATAGAAAATTGCAGAAGAGAGGTCCTATTTCAAAAACATTGTGGACACACCTCTTGCTCGCTTTCCGTCAGTAACAGGTCTCTGTCCTTAAGGAGCACCTCGTCCACGTCCTCCGAAGGGGGGGAATCCGCGTCTTGTGCGTTGTCATCATCCTCGTTGCGTTCCTCGTCCACGATGTCCCACGCGTTGCCCCCGAGCGTGCCCTTCGATCGCGCGTTCTTCTTGGAAGAACAATCTGCCGCTCGGTCGCCATCCGCTTGGATACAGGAACCTTCTAGATCTCGGGTGAGCTCCTCTACGACCTCCTCGTTGGGCTGGAGCTTCGGCGATCTGTCATTCGCACTCGCCATCGTTCGGTGTCGCGGGGGGCGTTAAACGAACGGCATGAAATCCCAATCAATCCCAACGGAAATGAGAAGGCGAGTTGGCGACGTGTTGATACGCGTGTTGTCCGCGCGCACCGCGCACATCAGCTGTGCGACGAAAACAATCTGAAATTTGCACGTTTGCACCGAGAGCGAGAGGAAAAAGAAAATGCATACATACACACGAGCGCGCGCGCTCGACCTGACGTTTGTCGCGAAGCGTTTCCCTGTCTCCCGCTACGAACGATAGATCGCGTCTGTCGTTCAATCTTCAGCCAACTTCGCTCGGCTGCCTTCCGTTCCTCGCGAAACTGCACTTTCTGCACTTGAGGAAAAGGCGGAAAAATATGAAAGATACAAAAAGTTCGGCTGCAAAGCGCGAAGCTTGTATTTTTACAGAAAAATCTAGGTACGGCAGTTTTATAATTTTACGAAGTGCGCACCGAAATTCGCGAAGATTTGCTTTACATAAAACAGCACAATTACTTTTTTAATGACGAGAACGTGATATAAATATAAACATATTTTATCTTGATAGAATAATCATTAAAATCGTTTTTAAACACAAAAGTGTTTTTGGCATTTGCTAAAAACACTTTTCACATCGTTATAATGTATTATTCCAATAAAATGTCGATGCGTAGATCGGATCGGCGCGGAACCAAAACAATTGACAGAGTCGGACTACTGGTTATACTTGTGACTCAATGGTGTCTGGTATAGCCAAATCAACGGGCATCACGGGCGAGTTGCGAGTAGAGGCCTAGATATAGTTGCGAGTTGCGAGTTCCGTGAGTTTGTAGCAGGTAACCTAAAAAATACGATATTGTAAACGTCGACTAAGGACGTAGGTCGTGTTTAAATTTCCCGCGCTCGCCTGCGAGGCGCTCGTGCAGATACACTCGCGCCTAGCGACCCCACGAGCGGTGATTGGTTGTGATGAAGCGTGAGGATTGGCTGTGGCAAACGAGCTGTGATTGGTTGAGTGAGTCGTGCGAGGGAGACACTCCCTACCCTAGTCCCTGTTCAAAAGTTCAAACCGTGAGACGAGAGAGTCGTTCAGGGAGTCGATTGTGTATTTTGAAATGAGGTGAAAATTACAAAAGTGAGGAAATTCACTAGCGTATCTACGATTTCATTTGTGGAAATCTAGTAAAATCTGTTCACTTTTGTAATTTTCACCTCGTTTCAAGATACACAATCGACTCCCAGAATCATTGTATCATCACATTCGTAGAACGTGTGCGGACCTGTTTGGACGTGTTTTGTCCGGCAGGAAAAATTTTTGAAAGTATTGCGACTGCAGTATGTTACTGTCTGCAGTATCAGCAGTAGTTTCCACTCAGATTTTTGGTATTTTTATTCAGACTTCGCTACGCTAAGGCCCCGGACACACACTTTTTTGTAACAGTAACAGTAGGATTTCGACCAATCGTGTTACTCGATTCGGGAACGTATGGCCGTACGTTTTCGAATCGAGCAACGCGATTGGTCGAAATCCTACTGTTACGTTCTACGGAAAGTGTGTGTGGCCAGCTTAACAATGTTCCAGACTTTGTATAACAAACAGTGGCAAATACTGGCCGTATTGTCCTCTGAATCATTGTAGAGTAACCGAGCCACGTGGACGTAGCGTGCCTCATTATAATAAAGGGACTTGCGTTCAATCGAGTTATCCTTTAACCCTCACAATCCCTGACGGTCCTTACAATATCGACATTGTCGGCCTTTTTTTTGTTGGATAAGCAATCGATAGGACTTTTCTCACCACGCTGATAATAAACCGCAGTCATGTACAATTTAACGGAAGGAGCGTTGGAGGTAAATCTGTTGAAAACATTATATTGTTATTGCGTTGTATTGTGTAACAATCGACATTTCATTGTTTCAGAGAATCATGCGGGGCACGAACGTCGAGAAACCGGTGCTCCAAATATTGGTGAGTATAGAATTCAGTAGCAGGATTTTGTAACTTCTTAACGACAGTTTCGGTATCGTTGCGCAGGTACTATATATGGTAAAAAAAGCTGCGCAACAATACCGAAACTGTCGAAATCCCACCTCTGATCTGTCACATCCTCGTAAGTCGCGCATCAAAATTATTTATCTCGAAAGCGTGACTTTGTTTTACAGAACAAGGTCTACTCAGCAGAATCAGGACAATTGCTTCTGTCATTTTTATGTAGATTTTTATCTAACTTTAAGTGATTGTTGTATCTCGATGTATTATGCGTCATGACACGTGATATATGTCTATCACATTAGAAATATTTCAATTGTCAATCAAACATTATTTTAATTGTAATCAAAAATTATCATGTTGCACAGGACTGATGCTTTGGATGTGCAAGACAAGGATTCTACTTTGTAATTTTCAGTGAATGTTGTCCTAATTGTGTAATAATTTTACAGGGTTACAAAAAACAAGATAATAAGGATGGTGTCGCTACCGATCGCTACAGATTGGTAGTATCCGATGGACGGAGGTTCAACTCGTTCATCATGTTGGCATCTCAATTAAATAATCTTATCACGGATGAAATTTTGACCGAGAATGCAATCTGCAGAATATTAAACTATCACTTGAGTTCAGCGAACAACGGTGGCAAAGAAAAGTATTATTTACACCTTACTTTTTGCATTAAAATAAGTAAATAATTCAAATGTCAAGCATATTTTTTTCTATCAGACGCGCGATGGTGATATTGGATATCGAGGTGTTGATTTCTGGCAGTGAAGTTAAGGAGAAGATAGGCAATCCAACTAATATAGACATTAAGTCAGATGCTGAATCCATATCTACATCCACAGCTGCAAGTTCTCCTTTTCCAACTAGTGAGTACATCGTTGGCTTGCGCCAATTGTGTCTAGAATAAATTACCAATTAACTTGTGTTCGCAATATTTTTTTGAATGGATTTTTTAAAATCTGTTTTGCTAATAGATGGTGCAGCCAAAAGGAGTTCTTCAAATCATTATGCCTCTTCTGATATATCTACTACACCAATCGCTGCATTAAGTCCTTACCAAAACAGGTAAGAGAATTCTATTCTGTATAAAATATATTTAAAAATACACGACATTGAAGATGGAGGGACAATGATAAAATTGTATTTAGATGGGTGATCAAAGTTCGTGTGACTAATAAGTCTCCAATCAGAACATGGAGCAACTCCCGTGGAGAAGGCAAGCTTTTTTCCATGGATCTGATCGATGAAAGCGGCGAAATTCGATGTACCGCATTCAGAGATCTATGCGACAAGTTCTATGACATGATAGAGGTACGCGTCATATGACTGAAATCGACGATGGTTATATGAAACTTTTTCTCCATGAAGGATTAGTTTGTCGAGTGTTTTTATTTATACAGCCTGGAAATGTGTATTATATCTCGCGGTGCACACTGAAGGCAGCGAACAAACAGTTTAATATGTTAAAAAACGATTACGAGATGACGATGACCGGCGATACAGAGATCGTCCCTTGCCACGAAAACAGTGATGACATCCCGACGTTGCAGTTCAACTTCTGTCCCATAAGTCAAGTAGAAAACAAAGAAAAAAATGTCTTAATAGGTACAGTAATAAAAGCTAATTAAATCTTAAACATTGGGTTACGTTAATCAAATGATTTTTTTCATCGTTAATGTGTATCCTTGATAATTTTATCTATATCAATTGACAACATTTATTTCTTGTTATAATCTTATCTCTAAACTAAATGGTAATTAAATGTTATCTCTAAGTATTAATTGCAAATCGCCCTGCATTAAAGTTTTACTGTATACAAAAATAAATAACAATTTGAAAATTTGAAATATGATATAAAATAAGGTTTGGTAAATATATAATTGGATTAATTTGAAAATTATGGGTATAATGATTCATTTGTAATAGATGTCTTGGGCGTCGTTACAACTTTCAACGATGTACAACATATTATGCAACGAACTACCGGCCGAGAGCTCTTGAAGAGAGATGTTAATATCGTTGATGACAGCGGCACAATGGTGAGCAGTTTATTGACAGATTTTAACATTTTGCTGTTACGGGTGAATAAACAAAATTGTCTGTTAGGTGTGCGTTACACTGTGGGGAAAACAAGCCGAGGACTTTGATGGTTCTAATAATCCGATCTTATCCATTAAAGGAGCGCGTGTCGGCGAATTTAATGGTGGAAAAAATTTATCCCTTATAAATTCCTCCGTACTTGAAAAGGATCCTGATCTTCCTGAAGCACACAGGTATATTCAAGCTGATTCTGAATTAAATTCTAACTTCGTAATTATAATTAAAATTTATTTGTAATTGAGAGAAATAACCTAATTTTACGTTTGCTCTTTATGTAATTTTTAACGTTAATTAATTTCTTAATTATGTCTTTTATTAGAATTTATTGTTATTTAGATTGGCGTTTCTAAATTTCTTTGAAAATATGCTGTTGTAAATATATAATTTTGGAAATACAATATAATTACATAAAAACACAGTATAACATTTATATGATACATATTTCAGATTGCGCGGATGGTACACTGCAGTCGGCCATTCGGAGAACGCTAAATCATTGTCTAGAGCAGGTGGAAGTGGTGACTTCAACGCGCCGTTGTGCACTTTCCAGGAGGCGACCGAAGCTCGATTGGGGGAAAAAATGAATCTCCCAGATTCATTTACAGTGGTGGCGATCGTTAACATGATTCGCATGGAAAATGCCATCTACAAGGCGTGTCCCGTAGATGGTTGCAAGAAGAAGGTGAATAGTACGCGACACAAATAGAATTTTTAAAATATTTCCAAGCTATTTCAAAAAATACGAGTTACTGTAAAACTTGAATTTAATTTCAGTTAATCGATCAATCTACCGGAGTATTTAGATGCGAAAAGTGTAACAAGGACTATCCAAATTTCACGTATCGCTTGCTGGCAAGTGTATGTATATTGTCTTCGCATCGTTCTTATTTATTTATATTGAAAGTATCTTCTGATATCTGTTCAGTTTATTGTTGTAACAATTCTCAGATGAGTGTAGTAGACGCAACAGGCAGTCGCTGGATAACTGCCTTCAGTGAAGATGCTGAGAAAATATTCGGCATGTCGGCGCAAGAGTTGGGGGAATTAAAGGAGAACGATAACGACGCTTATATGCAGAAATTCGACGAAGTGAATTTCAAGAGGTTCTTATTCAGTTTAAGGGCGAAATCAGAATTTTTTCAGGTAATCGATACAGTGTACATTTTATCATATTAATAAAATTTTTTCCACAATTTTCTCTTAATTTTCATAGCAGTCTATTTTTTACCATTGTATAAGTCATATTCTAAGTTAATCTTATATTCAGTGGTATTATATATTTTTTTCACATATGTATATTAGAAAATAATATATTAATACATTTTCTAACAATTTCTACGTTTTCCAGGATGAGATGAGAATAAAACACGTCTGTACGTCAGTCGCACCGCTAAATTACAAGACTTACCTAGCACATCTGACAGACAAAGTCTCCAAGTTAGTACACATCGAGAAATTGGAGTCCAACTAAATAAGATTTCATACGTTTTGTTAAAAAGAAGTTCAAGAAGATGATTAAAGCTTATAAGTTTGTACGTTTCATTGAAGTATTATGATCGTTTCGATATTTTTTCCAAGTGTCTTTTATTTAGATCGTTTCTATTATTTAATGAAATTCGATTAAGTATTCTTCAATGTAAAAGAAGAAAACCGTATGTAGCACGCGTAAGATACAATTAAAATTATATTAATCACATATTAAAATCGTTACTTTCCGCATGGATATTTATAATTTTTTTTATATTATGATTGTAATATCACATTTATTGTGCCTGCAGCATGATTTTTGTAAAATAAATTTCTGATTCACACATTGATGTTCGCGTTTTTATTAATCGATCAGTAACTAATATGATTGGTAAATATGTTTCACTACTGTCGTTGCCTCAGCTTTCTCTTTAGATCCTAAGATTCTTACAGAGTTTCTTCAGAATTATTCCGTACAACAGTAATGACTACCTAGATTGTAATGTGAAATGCATCATTTTTGTCGCGTTGTGAATGCACATGTGTTCTCGACACAAGGTGCGATAAGATCGTTACGCAAAGCGGATCCTTATCAGAAAGATATCTTGGCACGCTGTTGAGATCGCTCGACTGGTGCTCGGTAAGGTGCATAAAACTGCAGCCAAGATGCCCACCCGCGCGTAACTTTTCCCGCGGAAACGCCATGGCATGCTCTGCCCCTCGAAGGCTTTGTGCTAGCTCTTTGCAGTCGAGCTTCGTAGCTTCCTTACCTACAATGTATTACGATCACAATTTGCTGCGTTTGCTGAAAGAATATATTCCTTTTATGTCATAGAATTCTTTCACGCAGGTACATTGTCTTTGCATCCACTCTGTGTGTGCACACACGAGTAAATTTTTAGCAAAGCATTTCTTGAATTTGAAAGTAACATTGTTACGTTAAGCATGTAAATTATTAGACAGAATAATGTGAACACTTGGGAAATGCATTACTTATTTTATTAATAAGAGATTGGCCCATTGTTGGTCTTTAATAGAGATTTTATCCTTGTTTGGAATAAGGTCATGCAATGTTTAAATAGTCACCAGTGCAATGCTATACAACAATAACACGATGATATTTTAAATCAGTCAGTTACGTTGAAAATCGTTAAAATTTAAAAAAAGACAATTTTGAAAAATAAGAAGCTTTCTTCATCTTGCTAACATCACTTATATAATCAATTAAAATATGTTCTGCTAGTACAACATTTCATCGGTGTCTGATGTGATTATTTAAGATGACTATTGTAAGACCTTATTCTAAACAAGGGTAAAATTTGTATAAAAGACAAATAATAAATTATAATGTGAATATCTGGGAAATGCACTCCTTTTTTTAATAATAAGAAATAATAATTTAATAATAAGAAATAATAATTTCTTATTAATAAAAAAGTAGTGCATTTCCCAGTGGTGTTCATATTATTCTGTCCATCCCCTGTACAATACGCGCACACGAAGTCGTACATTATTCGGTTTTGTACAAACCTGCACCCTTCTGAATGTAATTATAATCCCCAGTACTTCCGCGCTCGCGATACAACGTGCGAGATAATTAGATAAAACAAGTGAAACTAAGCCAAACGAAAGGTACCAGCGTCTTATCGTGATACCACCAGTATTTAAAAAGGAGTCTCCACCGGCAGTGAATAAAGGAACACAACCTATACGTACAGTCGAAGCATTCAATTGTTTTTAATATTCCATATTGTAAATAAATTAGATTTTATTTTAAACCAACATTCTCATTCTACTCGAATTTTGACTGCAATTGACCTTTTCTTACGTACTTAAGCTTAAAAGATAAATATAAAGCTTTTTACACTGGCTTATCTCTCACTTATGTCTATCTTGATTCCTGATATTACACCTCTTATCTCTTGTCTCGCGGCATGATATTTTTACGTAATTTCTGCAACGCGTATCTTTATATCTATCTATACAAATACTCTACATATTAAAGAGTAATATAAAAGGCGAGATGCAGAATTCTCGCTTGACCTGTATATATTTGCGTTATTGTAAACAAACTCAATTTTATTCAACTCTTTTACTTCCTCGTTTTTGTCGCATCGTTCTTGAATAATTTTACTCATCCGCGGATTTTCAAGATGCGAGACCGTACATGAGTTGCTAACAATCGAGGAACGAACTGCCGTACGTGGGGGGCGCGTTGTTTTTCCGATCGGCGGGATAAAAAATCGGTGAGCGCGTAGGCCGGGATATTGCTGCCGCGCTCAATTCGCAACAATTCGCAACGAGCGTCGTAAGTCGCCGCGGTGCCGTATGTATGTATGACGTAACTGTATAAATTAAACTGATTAATGATAATATGATGCGCGATATCGGCCGAAGGTGTAGCACGTCGAGCAAGGCCGCGGCGCAGATATAGCGCCCGATAAATCGCGGCGCTTTAAGATATTGCAAAAAATTGTCCGGTCCGAAGGGCGCGCGCGGTGAGTGAAGGAGAAAGGGGGCCGCCTCTCTTTCTTTCGGCAAACATCAAACATCCGCGGGGCGAAATATCTAGGCGTGTATACGCGGTGTACGTGCCGCGCCACGATGCCGCCGCGGCCGAGTTATTCGCCCGAGTAAATATTTCAGGCGCGATGAGAAATTGATTGATCGATCGTGTCGAATCGAACTTGACGGCGCGAATTAAGGAGACGATCGAGGGAGGAAAGGAGAAAGAGAGACGGAAACTTAAGATGGCATAAAACACGAAAGGGATCGACTGAAACTGGAACAATTAAAATTTTATTCATTTTTCCGGGGTTTCCGCCGCGGTCTCCGAGGTAGAAAGAAAAAAAAAAGAAGATATCGCAATGTTGAGGTTTCACACCTAGGCCGACCGAGCCACTTAAGAATAGCAATCAATAAAACGACGAAGGAGGGAGAGGAGGACAGAAGGAATCGAGTGCCTGGTGCCAACGGAGGGAAGAAAGAGAAATCGAGGTAGATGAGGACAGAGAGAGAAAGAGAGGGGATGCTGCTATATATATATACACGCGCGTACGACGCGCCACGTCGCTCCAGTTTCTGCCGCGCGAACGCGAGGATCACGATCGGCCGGCCTGGGTCTGGCTGCTGGCCTAGTGTGCTGTGTGTGCGGTCAGCGGTATATGCCCCGATGCGGTGCGACGCGCGCTGAAACGTTTCCCTGATGCGGCGAGCGAGACCGCGACCGAGCAACGCAACGCCGGTGGTGTCCCCGTTGACGCGACAGCCCGCTCGCGGACTCCGGCGGTTATAAAGTGCCTTTTTTTCTGTCATTAGCAGGCCTTCGCATCGGTAAAATGGTGAGTTCTCTTTTGCCCGGGCGACCGCCGTTCTATTTTCCTTTTTTTTTTCCTTTCTCCCTCCCTCCCCCAATCCCCTCGATCCCCGCTCTAATCTGTAATGCGTTCAAGAAAACCGGGTTGTTGTGCAAATGCCAGACGCTTATTATGTAAACATTAAACATTCGCCGCGATTATCGCGCGTTTCAGTTTCAGAAAGACGGAGTGAGACTGAGACAGCACACGAAGAGAACGTCGTCGGCCGAGTTACCTTACGAGAACAGAATCGCCTCGAGGAAGCAAGATGTACTGCCAAACGATACTCAGCATCTCCTCTTCGTTCTCACGTATTTCCTCTTCGTGTCCTTCGCCATAATCGTCCTGGAGAGGAATCTGCCCGACCCGGTTACCATCGACACGGAGGGACTGCACCCGGGGAGATTCGTCGCCGAGCGAGCCCGCAATCACGTGGTGAATCTCACGTCGATTGGGCCCCGCATCGCCGGCAGCTACGAGAACGAGGTCCTAGCTGTTAGATTTCTAACGACAACGATCGACAATGCGATGAGAACGGCGCACGAGAATCATAAGATCCTTCTTAACATTACAAAGCACAGCGGCGCGTTTCCGCTTAAGTTTCTCGACGGCATGACCAATGTCTACAGAAATGTACAGAACGTCATTGTCAAAGTCGGACCTCGCCGGCCTACAATGCACAGCTTGCTGCTTAATTGTCATTTCGATTCGTTTTTAGAAAGTCCAGGTAAAGAGCGTGTTAAGTACTGTGGTCTAATACGCGACGCACCTCATTTGCATGCATAATTATCGTTTATGCGAAATATTTCAGGCGGTTCTGACGATGGCGCCGGTTGCGCTGTAATGCTAGAGATTTTACGGATAATAACTCAAAGCCCGAAAATATTGAAGCACAGCATTGTATTCTTGTTCAATGGGGCGGAGGAAAACATATTGCAGGTATATTAATTCGATATCTTATCTCGATGCTTCTGGTTTTATTGATTAGTTCCGGAGCTTATTGATTAATTCTGTGATAACGTGTTCCGCACGCAATGTACTTTCCAGGCGTCCCATGGCTTCATAACGCAGCACCCTTGGGCAAAGGACGTGCGAACGTTCATAAATCTAGAGGCATGCGGTGCCGGTGGACGTGAATTATTGTTCCAAGCTGGACCTCACAATCCTTGGATTCTCGAGGTATATATTATCGCGCTATGATTTTTTCTACTAATATTTTTTTTGGCATTAAAATCAATTTCTTATTATGGTGTGTTTCTTAGGTATACGCCAAATCTGTACCGTATCCTTATGCATCATCGTTGGCTCAAGAAATATTTGAGAGCGGTATCGTCCCTGGTGACACGGATTTTCGAATATTTAGAGACTTCGGAAACATTTCTGGTTCGTAAAGATTTGTAGATTGTGATATAGTTGTGTCCCGATAACTTATCGCTATGGAAAATCTTCACTAACGTATTTGTAAAATTTCACACAGGCCTGGACTTTGCTTGGTCGAAAAACGGTTACGTGTACCACACTAAGTTTGATAACGTCGATCAGATACCGCTGGGAGCTTTGCAAAGAACCGGCGATAATATTCTCGCTTTGACACAAGGAATAGTATTTGGAGACGACTTATCGGACCCGGATGCGCAAGAGACACGTGGTAGTCTCGTGTTCTTCGACTTCTTAGGCGCATTTGTTATTAGATGGCCACAGTACATTGCCAGTACAGTTAATATCGCCAGTATAATTATAGCTGGGTACTCTATCCATTTGAATATGCAGAGTGCACGTAGAAGTAAGAATATATGATTATTATTTAGATCCGGCTGCGCCAGTAGACCTGAAAAATCGGTTCTCGTTTTCTCGAACAAATCTGAGTAATACAATCGAATTCTGCGTTATCGGATACAGATATTAAGAAATGGATGTACATGAGACATGTGCTGATTTGCATCGGGGTGATTATGGTCTCGTGGTTGGCATCTATGTTTGCTTGCACGTTAATCGCCCTGGTTCTGACCAAGCTGGGAAAGGTGATGAGTTGGTACGCGAGACCGGCGTGGCTATTTTTCTTGTATGTTTGCCCAACCATTTTTGTGTCGATGATCGTGGTCCTGCAAGTTGGATCGAGGCAGAAAAAGGCAAGTGAATAGAAATATGCTGCGGAACAATTTCAATTCTCAAGTAATACTTGCGGATATCGTTTTGGATATCACCAACGGATTTGCAGCGTATAAGTAATTAATCTACGATTGTAGGAAATTGGGTCTGCATGGATTTTGTATCATATGTACTGCGACGCGTATTCCTTGATATGGATGTCGATTCTCTTCGTGTGCGTGTTATTTGGATTACGCTCGGGCTTCATACCGCTACACTGGGTCTTATTCCCGGCAGTTGGAAATATCGTGCGACACAGTTTCTTCAGCAAATTGAGAGGTGAGGACAGTCACAACATTGTTCTTTATGAATCACTTTTTTTTTATATGCTAACACTGGATAACCTTCTGTGTCAATTATTTTAAAAGTATTCTAATCACTCGACTGAATGTATTTTTATGAATTTTGTAGACTGGAAATGGCTTTGTTACCAATTGGGATCGTTGAGTTTGTCTTATATACAGTCGTTTTATTTAGCGCTCGGTGCTCTCTATCTCTTCATCCCAATAATGGGACGATCCGGTGGCAGTATTAATTCCGAAGTTGTAATAGCTAACATGCTGTCGATATTATTCTGCCAGCTAATTTGCTTCACGGTAAAATATTAATAGCTTTAATTCTATTCGCACGACGTAATTTAAACCTTTTAATGTTGTACAAACTTCTCTTGATGTCTGTTATAAAATATAACAATTTTTTCAGTTGCCAATAGTGCTTGTAATAAAGAACGCAGAACGAATTATAAGTGTGATTGTTGGAATTTTCTTAATCGCTATTGCTGTGTTAATTCTAACACCACTTGGATTTCCTTACAGTGGTGATCCGTTGTCGCCTGCTCCACAACGATTTATGATCGCGGTAACATAGTTATCTTTTCTTGTCTCCCGAAAATGTTTGTTCGATAGAAGATAATGTAGTAGGCTTGTATGTTCATTGCATTTTTGATTTACAGCATAGTCAACGCCAGTATTACAATGCAGATGGTAGTGATAGGTATTCCGGTACGGGATACTGGTTAGTGGATTTAGATATGAATAGTCCTCAGACATTAGAATCAGTAGTACCTGAAGTAGCTGCCGCGACGCCAACAGTCAGGGATTGCGAGAAGGAATTATACTGTGGTTTCCCATATTTATTGCCGGTCACAACTTTCTTGTGGTACATATCGGAATCAGTAGCGCATTATTTCGAATATAAACGCACGAACTGAGGAGACTCTTTTTTACAGGAAAACTACCTGGATACCCGGTCCCGCTCCGCTCATAAATATTCCGACAAATCTCGAGGTAATTTCGAAGAGTGCGAAACAGCACATCGTTAATTACACCTTTAACGTTACAGGTAAGATATTAATAAATTTAAGGGCCGGTTGTTCCAACCTGTTGGTAAGCTGACTAATAGTTAAATATGTCTATCTTTGTCTAATGTAAAAGATAAACAAAGACATATATATATATATATATATATATATATGATTTAACTATTAGTCAGTTTACCAACAGGTTGGAACAACCGGCCCTAAGTAATTTAAATTTTACGCGTCTTCGCGAAATAAAGATCAAATATTACCCTTTGAACTGTTTAGGTCCCGACCACATAGGTATAATTTTATCTCCGTACAAAGGTGTACATTTAGAAAAATGGTCTGTACTCGATGAGAAACCATTGCAAGGTCCAATGTGGAACGACAGAGAGACTTATTTTATTTATTACGCATGTGCCTCAGATTGCGTGCCATATACATTTTCTATAGAACTGAATGTAAGTTTGCAAGAGACACGTGCTTCTCTTTGTCCCACCGTGTTATGCAGACTTTTGCATTATGGATTTGTGTGTTCAGGTGTCTGCGGTGCAAAAAGGACCATGCTTGTCTATCGCATTGGCCGGACACTTCCTACATGGCGAACACCAAAGATCTCTGAGATTTAAGAAATTTTTAGCACAGTTCCCGTCGTGGACTGTCGTCGCTCCCTGGACAGCGTCGTATAAGTTATGGGAGTTGTAACGAGGACAGCAGGACAATTGAATGCGGTAAACGTGACTAGAACATAAAGCAATATTGTCCGGGTCGTCTCTCGCGAATTAACGAAGCAGCCTAATAAAACGGTACTATGCTTTTCGAGTACGAAACCTAATGCCATGGCGATGTAATATCGCTTGAATACTTAGACTTGGCCTTCAACACTTCCTAGAATATTACGATTTGAGAAGAGGTATCGAAAAATGTTTAAATGCGTTGGAGAATGGAACGAAGAAAGACGTTCTCATTCTGAATTTATATATGAATTTTTTACTTGCATATTATCGTTAATAGAGACCACGAGTCGAACTAGCCTAAGACGTTGATTCAGATTTAAATCATAAAGAGATATCTTAAAATCATATATATATAGAGAGAGAGAGATAATATAAAATATATTTGCCTGGGCGCTTTCAAAGGTGATAACTACGATTATTTTTCGTAGGAGCGTACGATAATATTGCATATCATAAGCTTTAGACTGATTCCATGCATTGTCTTTCGATTTTATACGTTTCACGAGGAATAGATACCCATAAAAGGGGACGTATATCATTAAAATTTAAAACTCGAATTATATGACAAACTGTGATTGCATTACGTACGCTCTCTTAGTACGCTTCAAATTTACTGGTCAAAATATCAGTAGTAGTTCAAATTGCCATCTCAAACGAGATGACTAGATCAATAATCGCATGATTAGTGTGCGCACATTAGTGCGTATTATTGAACACGTTCTACAAAAATTGCGCAAGTGCTGTCTAAAACATTTGTAGACTATTTCGTGCTTTAATACCTTGTAGCATGCATAAGTGCAAGAGTTTACGATTCAATCGTCTATATCTGCTGTTCGGTACAAAGTACAGATTTGTCCACGAACACGTCAAACTTCCTTCATAATAGACGGTATAAATAGGCAGTATAAATGACAGCACGCGCGAATATAGTACTTTACATTTACGTACTTTAGATATCGCGACGAACAAATGTTGCTCGAAGTACAAGATAATCAAATACGCATTTTAAAGAAATTTTATATTTCGAGTACTATATAAATAGGACAAAGGGAACGAATTTCAAATATACACATATAAATACGCACATACGTATGCAGGATATGCTTAATATGTTTAATTCCATTTCTTAAGTTTGAGTATTTTGTTTTGCAATCAATTTGAGTAGTATTGATAAATATCAGCAGGAGAGCTCGATATTTGTATTCCTCGTAATCACAATCTACGAACCATTCCTCTTTTCCCTAGTTTTAAGAAAAAAAAATTTATTTTTAATAGCATATCAAAGAAGTTGGAGACTTGACATAGATTTCTGGTATGAGTTAATTTTTAGTAGTTCATATTCACGCGCCCATATCTCTTTTTTACCATCTCTTTACTATCTCTTTACTCTAATGAAGGTATCAAGTCTGTCTTTAAATCCTTAATTTTTCAATTTCCTCTCACTCACTAAAAATATTTTTTTTCTTTCGTTAAAAATATTTTTGACAAATTACATGTCTGTTAATGCACACTATCTATTTCACGATAACGCACAATTCACTAACGATACTTTACTAAAACTTTACTATAAAGGCATCTATCGCACATGACAATTAAGAATTAATTATTATTCCAATTCTTCTGACACATAATCTTAAGACAGTTCCTCTTCTCTATCTCTTTTACAATTCGCAACTTTTAATATCAACTTTTTTCCAACAACCGAGCACCTTCGTCATTTAGTGAACACAAAAAGTTATCTTAAACTAAAGTTCATTAGCCGAACGTACAGTTTCGATTTAATAATTAGAAATAATAGAGAATACCGCTTACGTAATGAAGTTTTTTTTCCACGAGTCCCATAGACATATCGCGGATAGCCTAATATACGCCTACGCCGTAAGTTACTTCACGTAACTTAACAAACTTAACGAATTGTTCACTTTACGATGCTTGACAAAATAGTATATTAATATAGTTATATTGTGAGACTTCAGCGAAATTTTTCGCTGGTAGGAAGTTATATTAGTGATAAATAGTACAACGTGATTTATTAAATAAAAAAATAATAGTTTTATATAATATATTATTAAATATATTATAGTAGCGAAAAGCGAGAGGCAGTAGCAAAATATGTGATTTTAACAAAGATTAAACATTTTTAATATAAAGGATATTGGACAAACGTTTACGTAATATATTTTTGTATCGCGGTTCAAGTTGTTTTTCTTATTATATGTTTTTATGTTTTAATTTATGTAATTAATAACTAATTATCCGTATTAGGCTGTGGCTCATCTAATTGTTCGTTAATTTGCCTGCAGTACAAGCAAATTGCGTTTAACGTTAAGCCAATGATAACGTTAATTTCTATTGCACAAATTTACGATTGCGATTCTACTTAATTCTCGTGAACAAAGTTATACAATAATACTTGACCACTTTTAATATCTATGTCATTTGTTATAGGCTCAAAATGACCGAATTATTAATTCGCTTTGTTTTGTTTTCTTCTTTTAATACGTCTACGTATCTTTATATCTTTATAAAGATATTTTTATATATTCCGTAATTTCTTAAGCGATCGCTATGGTAATCATCATTACGCTATTATCACTATTAACGCGAGAGATGTAGCGCGCTTGTTAACAGGGTCTTTATTTTATTGTTAGGAGTAAAACGAAGTTTCTCACCTCGTTCCTCGCTCGTCGAAACGAGCGAGGATCCTAGATTAACGGACGTGCAATCGTTCTTCGAAACGCGTTTGGAAAGGCGTTTTTCTTTTTTTGCTTCGTATCCTGAATCATACAGATATCCGTACTTCGGTAACTTCGTTTTACGCCGAGTAACCGGCCAAAGGAAAAGGATCCATCCATTGCGTGACAAGTGTACAATTGTAGTTGCCTAATAACTTTGTTTCCGTTATAATGCGTGCAGGGCGACACACTAGCGATAAAATGACCACGAATGACCCGCGTGTCGCGGGATTCAATTCGAGGAATTTTTAAGCGTTCGATAAGCGGTGCAGCATATTGATAGTAATATATATTGTTTTTCGCCCCCCCCCCCCATCCCACCAATTTATTTATACACAGGCGTATGTTCCTGCTTGCGTTATATTAAATTGTCAATATACATATATTGCGACATTGTTACTTGGCAGTTGTTGTTACATGATTAAGAGACTATATGTGAAAGAGGAAATAAAGAATTAAATTGGAGAATTACGCCAACCGTTTCCTTCATTTTCCTTCATCAGGTTTTATTAGATTTTCCGTAGCGACGACAATAAGTAAATCCGTCACTAATAGGAGCCGTTAGGTATTGATAAATTAATGCATCAATCATACGAGCTAAAACTGTCTATACTGATGTATTAATACCCGTTGTTTCGTTTCACGATTTTATTACACAAACTGAGCGTCATCGGTGTCCGTTACTGTTACGCGACTTTTTGCGTTTCATCAATACGGAATTGTCTTCGTTGTCCAACGAATCTTTTGTTCGCCGAATCAATTTCCTGTTTTCTGAACGGCACTCTTACACGTTTGTTACGACGATGACGTTATTTCACGAGTTTCATTCGCGTAACGTAGATCACACATAGGATATCAAAACGATCAAAGAGAGAAGACGACGTATTTATCCTTTCTATGTCCAGAATTCAAAAGAAAGAATTGAATATGATTTAATAATCGACGTAAATTAATACGTGTGTAATAACGTATTAACGTTAATAATTATATATGCTAATTATTAATATTTAATCATCAAATTATAATGTCCTCACTGATGTTTAAATAAATCATATTTAATAAATAAATTATTATTATTGATATTTAACATGTTTAAATATTTAAATGTCAATATTCAAATGCGTATAATATTATGCTCAAGCGTATTATTCAAACGTATTATATTAAATGTGCATATCTATTCAAAAGACGTCAAAAGACGTCAAAATGACGAGTGCTTGCTACCTGGGATAATTATAATATCCCAATATATATATATATATATATTCTACTTAATT